GTACCACGTCGACGACACGGTCGCCCGCGAGAAGGCCCGCTTGGTCGTGAAAGCTTTCACGCAGGTCTACGGCACAGATTACGACGAGACGTACGCGCCGGTAGGGAGCTACGTAACTCTGCGGATCTTCCCCAGCATCGTAGCAGTTCTCGACCTGCACCTGATGCAGCTGGACATGAAAAACGCGTTTCTGCAGAGCAAGCTGGATCGCGTCCTCTACATGTACCAGTCTGATTACTTCAACGACGGAACTGGCCGAGTCTGCAAGCTGCGGAAGAGCTTGTACAGCCTGAAGCAGAGTCCGCTGCTGTGGTACTCGGCGCTCGACGCGGTGCTGACTGGTGCCAACTGGCAGAAGAGCCAGGTCGACGATGCGCTGTACTTCAAGATCAGCGAATTCGGAGTGGCGTGCTGGGTGCTCATTTACGTCGACGATCTGCTCGCCGCAAGCAGCAGCACTGCGATGCTGAATGATTTGAAGGAGCTGCTGGAGGCCGCCTTGGAGCTGCCCAAAATCAGCCCTGTCGAGAAGTATATTGGGCTGGAAATCGTGCGCGACCGTCCTGCGCGGAAGCTGTGGCTTCACCAGCAAATCTACGTCGACAAGCTGCGTCGGCGTTTCGTCGACCAGGAGCAGACTGGGCGGGTGCCGAAGACCCCGGTCTCCGTCGACACATATGCAGAGCTGGTGTTCGACGACGAGGAGTTTCAGTCACGCAAGGAAGCAGAGTATCGGTAGAAAGTCGGCTCGCTGCAGTTCGCGGCCACCACGACAAGGCCCGACATTGCCTTCGCTTGCAGCAAGCTCGGATCCGGCCTGACTATGCGGAGCGACAACCACTGGCGTGAGGTCGATCGCTGTCTGCACTACCTCGCTGAAACTCGTGACGCTGCTCTGGAGTTCGGCGGTGGACCAGAGTCGCAGTGTCTTGTCGGCTATGCAGATGCCGACGACGCTGGTGACAAGCAGAATCGGACGAGCACGGGCGGCTACGTTTTCGTTTTCGGAGGAGCCGCAGTCTCCTGGTCGAGCCAGCGCATCAAATGCGCGACGCTCTCGTCGACCGAGTCGCATACGTCGCGGCCACGGAAGCTGGCAAGGAGGCTCGTCGTCTTCGCTTTCTGCTTGCAGAGTTCCAGCTGCTCGATGCTGGAAAGCCGACCGTGCTGCACATGGACAACCAGCCGGCCATCACGGTCGCTGAGGGCTTGGGGCTCAAGGGCAACCTCAAGCACATGGAGCGACGCTATGCCTGGCTGCAGCAGATGGTGAAGCGCGAGAAGATTGCTCTGCAGTACATCCCGACCACCGAGCAGCCAGCGGATTTCCTCACGAAGGCTCTGCATTTTCCGGCTTTCAACCGGTGGTCCGTCGCAGTGGCCAGGTTCGCCTTGCCGAAGTCGGCGACGACGACGTGCAGAAATAGGTGCCATGTCCTTCAACATGGCTGGTGCGGTGGGCGGCGTGCTGGTTTGGACGCCGTCGAAGTATCCCCCTTGTACTCTATTACGTAGGCTCTACGGGTGGAGTGTGCGTGTGTGTGTGCCCAAGCATGAACTGGGCAGGGGAGTGTCGAAGAGAAAAAGCCCCGCCCTCGCTTGGGCGAAGTCGACCAGGCATTTCGGAACAGAACGGTGTTCGTTTCATGGTCATCAGCGGCTTCGGGGACTTTTATCTGCGTGCGACGATTCGTTTGTCGACGAGATTAATTGGTCGAGGTAGAAGTGTTTCCTCTGCTCGATCAAAGTGTTAAAGTTTAGAAGAAAGAAGAGGGAAGAAGGGGGTTGCACTAGCAAGAATGGGGATACAAATAGGAAACCCTAGAAGGGTTGTACTCGCTATAGAGCACCCCACTACATGCTAGAGCATAAGATAACATTCTGACACACCCCCATAGCCAAAGTGGGGTGTAATCAGCAGAGTAAGCAAAGGAGTACAAGCTCAGGGTGGATCACAATGTCACCACACATTCTGAGCACAAGTTCAAGAAGCAATAGTTTAAGTTCACAATTATGAGCAAAGCTAGTGGTAGTCACAACGGGCAAGTGAGGAGGAGGAGGAGAGAGAGTGAGAGGAGAGGAGATAGGAGGCGACGGCTGAAGCTGCAGACACACAGGCAACAGGAGGCAGACTGGCACAGCGGCTACCGGACGAAGTCCCCGGAATACAGGAGTAACAGGCCCCGCGGCTAAAGTAGCGGCAGACGAGCAACGGACCCACGGGCGGCTGGCACAGCTGGCTACGACTGGGCTACCGGACGAAGTCCCCGGAATACAGGTGCTGCTGGCGACACGACGGCAACCTCCATTCAGCTTCCCCAAACTATCCCACTCCCCCCTGGCACACACCCGCTGCTACACCGCTAGCTCCGCTCCCCCTTCACCCCCCCTTAGTACCACTCCACCGGCTCCAACACGTCCACCCCCCCTCAGCGGCAGCTGCAGCACAGGGAGACGGAGGAGGAGGAGGAGAAGGGTTAAACACAAACCCGCCACCCCCCAACTGCCACCCCCCAACCGCCACCCCCCAAACCCTAAAAACAGGGTAGGGAGGTAGGGGGGGGGGGGGGGGGGGGGGGGGGGGGGGGGGGGGACGCGCGGCCCCCTGCATACTCCCCTCCCGTCGCCTGTCGAGGCGACGCTGGGGGGGGCCGCTTGCGGCCCCCCCCAGGGCGCCGCGACGGGCGACGGGAGTTGGGCCGGGGCAGGTCGGGGCCGGGGCAGGTCCGGGACGGGGCGGGGCAGCAGGGGCCGCGCACGGCTCCCCTGGGCAGCGCGACGGGACAGCAGGGCCGCGCGCGGCTCCCCTGGGCGGCGCGACGGGGCTGCAGGGGCCGCGCGCAGGCCACGACGGGCGACGGGGGGCGACGCGCGGGTCCCCGTCGCCCGTCGCAGCGCCTCCCGAGGGCGACGCGCCGAGCAACGGGGCAGAAGCCCGCCGCGCGCCTCGGGGCGCACAGCGGGCAGAGAACCGCCGCGCGCCTCGGGGCGCACGGCGGGCAGAAAACCGCCGCGCGCCTCGGGGCGCACGGCGGGCAGAAAACCGCCGCGCGCCTCGGGGCGCACGGCGGGAAGAAAAACTGCCGCACGCCATGGGGCGTGCGGCACAGAGAGTAGCAGTAGCAGTTGCAGCGGAAGCAACAAGGTGGTGAGCCCACCCACAGGATCGATCCAAGGGGATCGACCTGCTCTGATAGCATGACAGAATCGTAGGAAGGAGATCAAGTTTAACTAGGGCCTAGGCTTAGGAGCCTAGGCCCAACTAGGATGTCGAGTAGTTTGTGCCTAGGGTGAGATGTCGAGGAAGTTGGAAAGGATGGTTTCACTATAGGTTTCGAAGAACATATAGCAAAGGAAACAAATAAGGTGCACCACCAAACAAAGTTTATAATAACTACACTAACTACAGCTACAGGCAGTTACAAATATAAGTTCTGACAAGAAAAGCCCGTGGGCGCGCTCTGGTTGCGATTCCAATGACGATCATTCTTGTTCGAGAAAATGATGCGAACTATCCCCCGTAATAATGCAGGGGTGATATTGGCGGGGGTGTTTGCCTTTCAACGCGCTTTGAAAGAAAACGGGCCACTGACCACTGGTTAGAGACGGGCAAGGGTGTTTGCCTTTCAACGCGTTTTGCTGTTGATATTGGCGGGGGTCAGGTGTACGACCAAATCATTGCTTCGAAGCTACATGAGTGGCCCAAATTCCAGACCGCTTGAATTATGGGTCATCGAAATGATGACCAAGTTCAACATGTTTCACGAGTGAACTATGCGTGATAGTGTTTTACTTATATTATTATTAACGAGTAACAACGAGGGGTCATACCAGAGTGACTAGCCATGATAGATTTGGCGGAAGAAGTGACAATAAGTGATTGAAAAGTGACCACCTGTGATTAATCCGAAAGTTTCGATGACTGCCAGTACAGAAAACCTTTGAAGTAACGGCCAAAGTTCTGCCCAAACTTGCTGTGAGCGGCCTTGCGCGAAGGTTGGAGCATGGTTGTGCACTGGCGGATTTCCTGGAGATCGCGATCGCGAGGATCCTCCACGTATGCTGTAACCACAAGTTCATACGCGCTAAGGAGGACGCAAATAGATACACGAACTCGTTGCGAACGAAGCGAATATAACGAAAGAAATTGCATCTAAAGCTCATGACAATTCTCTTTGGTCGCTACCAGTTCCACGCCCCAGGCATTGCTTTAGGGCGCGTGTGGTCTTACAAATTTGTGAAAGTTTATGTTTTTAGGTCCAATGTACATTTTGAACAAAACTCGACTTTCTTTCCAGCGAAGTTCGAATCTTGGGTCTCCAATACAGACGAGTCACAATCACACACCCAAGGTCGAACACAGAGATTCGACCTTTTAGGGATGGCGGCGAGCCGCCCGTAGGGAAAGTAGGTTACCTGGTACAGCGCAACACGTTAACGTAATGCGCAACGAAGCTCAACGACCTTTGCAAAGCGGTCGCGATTTTCGGATGGCCTTCGTACGTGCTGAAAACAACACACACTCGCCTCACGTGCACCCGCACGTTCACTCGTGTGATTCGAGTCGAGTTCACATTTGACATTCGAACTTATGTGCCCCCAAAATTCTCATGCCTTCGCCAAAGCTTCCTGACGACATTGGCGAAGCTGGTAACCACCCAAAGTTCGACCTTTTTTCCGAACTTGAAAATAGATCACACGCGCCCTTAGGGCGAGGCCAGGTGTTCGCACACTTCATCCATCATCTCGCAAAATGATACCACACAGTGCACAGCAATATCAAGCTTCACCGTTTTAAACCGTGACGCAACAAGGATAACCGCACAGAATGAACTGAAATGAACTGCCTCGCACGGAGTGATGTTGGTGCATTTTTTGCCTCCGTTCCTCTTTCCCTGTCGCAGCAACAAAACCCATTGCATACGTTGCGACATCTTTCCGCGTTTCCAGCCGAATCGCTCTCTCATTCGCGTGTCTCTCACCCCGATCCTCTCGCCGCCATGGTGTGCATTCGGCAGGCCACCGTAAGTCGTGAGTCGTGACCCAGCCTTGCTCGACTGCACTTTTCCGGAGCCGAATTCTCAGCGCGCAGTCCTTTTGAAAGAAAAAAATCCTCTTACCTATTTTTTTCACCTAATGCGCCATTTACCTTGACTGGAATCGTCCAAATTTAGGATTACGGTCGTTCCTGAAGACTCAGGAAGGCTAGCTATGGTTCTGTGTCGACCAACGTGGGAGTGTCGTTTTCTCTGAAAGTAGAAACTCAGCTGTTGCGATATGGCTCAGTATGGCTCACATTGCGTGCGCTGCCGTTTGCGCGATTTCTCGTCATGCTTCTCTCATCGCGTCCCTTCTCCAACCTCCGATTTCATCCCCGTTTTGAGCAGCGGATGCGTCTCAGCATCGAATTCCCCGGTCCTTAAGCGTATCGCAAACGTGTGCAACTGATGACCCTGGTTTCCTTTCTCGAACCTTTTAACGGCAACGGACATCTAACCCCTCTTGTTCTCAACCCTAACCCTCTTGCCCTTGAACCCCTCTTGATTTTGAATCCCTCTTGCCTTTCCACCCCTCTTGCCCTTCCACCCCTCTTTCCCTTCCACCCCTCTTGCCCTTCCACCCCTCTTTCCCTTCCACCCCTCTTGCCCTTCCACCCCTCTTTCCCTTCCACCCCTCTTGCCCTTCCACCCTCTTTCCTTTCCACCCCACTTTCCCTTGCACCCCTCTCGCCCCCCTTGCACCCCTCTCGCCCCACTTGCACCCCTCTCGCCCCCTTTGCACCCCTCTCGCCCCTTTTGGAACTGTCGTGGGCAGGTGGAGGACCTGCTGGCCATGCAGAGCTGCAACCTCATGTGCCTTCCGGAGAACTACCAGATGAAGGTGCGGGGATGGTGATGGTGGGGTGGTGGGATGGTGCGATGGTGGGATGGTGGTGGGTTGGGGAGGAGGATGGTGGTGGGCTGATGGGGTCAGTGTGCAGGTGGAGGACCTGCTGGCCATGCAGAGCTGCAACCTCATGTGCCTGCCTGAGAACTACCAGATGAAGGTGGGGTGGGGGGAGGATGATGGATGATGGTGGGAGGTGGGGTAGTTGGATGGAGGATGGTGGGGATGTAAAGATGGTGGGATGATTGGATGACGGAGACAGAATGTGAGGGGGAAGGAGATATTATGAAGTTAGGAGAAAAATGATAAAGAGAAAGGTGGCGGTTTCTCCCTTTGTCCAAACCCCCACCCTTCCTCCTGCCTTTTCTATGCCCCCTCCTCTCCCCTCCCTGCCCACCCGCTCCCCTTACCTCCCTCTTAGTACCAACTGTACTGCAACCTATCATGTCCTGACCTTTTGTTCTCTCCTCGCCCCCCCACCCCACTCCTCCCCACCCACGCCCCCGCCCTCTCCCCTATCCCCTCCCCTCGGTGCAGTTTTACCTGTTCTACATCCTGTTATGCTTCTTGACATAGTGTTATATTCTCCCCTTCCCTGGGGTCCAATCTGTAGGGATTTTTTAAGAATTCTCTAGGGTTTTTTTTAGAATTCTCTAGGGATTTTTTGAGAATTTTCAAAAAATCCCTACAGCTTCTTGACATAGTGTTATATTCTCCCCTTCCCTGGGGTCCAATCTGTACAACATTCTGTAATTTCTCAATCTACAGGTTCTCTCTTCGCCTTCTCCCTCTTTCTCTCACTCCCCCCCTCCCCACCTCCCTCCCGCTTCTCTGTACCACCTGTACCAAAGCCTGTCGGGAGGCTATCTGTTCTCTCCTCACCCACAAATCCCCACCCTCCCTCCTCCCCTCTTCCCCCCCTCCCCCAGTACTACCTGTACCACATCCTGTCGTGGCCACAGCTGCTCTACGTGGCGGAGGACTATAACAAGAAGATTGTTGGCTATGTGCTCGCTAAGATGTGAGTGTAACGAGGGGTGTGTGTGCTGCTAATAACGAGGGGTGAGTGTGTGCTGCTAAGATGTGAATGTAACGAGGGGTGAGTGTAGCTATTCGCAAGTGTAGTATTCTGCAACAGATTCAGTGCAACTCGTGTTACTCCATGATCCTCACGAATCTCCCCACCCGGCCGCATGTGGGGCATCTCTGCTTGGGCCTGGACTGGACATATCTGGGACATGGCATGGTATGGGAATGGGAATGGCATGGGGATGGGCTGGGCATGGGCACGGGCATGGGTATGACATGGGAATGGCATGGTGGCATGGCAGGGAGGAGGAGTCAACGGAGTGTCGCGGGCACATCACATCACTGGCCGTGTCTCGCACTCACCGCAAGCTGGGTCTCGCCACCAAGCTCATGACGGCTGCCCGTGAGTGACGGGGTGCCTGTGAGTAGATAGAGGGGCTGCTCGTGGGTAGACAGTGATTGGTGCTCGTGAGTGTGCTCTTTGCCAAGTGTGTCGCGCACTCACCGCAAGCTGGGTCTCGCCACCAAGCTCATGACGGCTGCTCGTGAGTGCAGTGAGGCTGCTCGTGAGTGCCGTGAGGCTGCTCGTGAGTGCAGTGAGGCTGCTCGTGAGTGCAGTGAGGCTGCTCGTGAGTGCAGTGAGGCTGCTCGTGAGTGTGCTCCCTACCAAGCGGGTCTTAGTCATCTTTTTCCATTGTCTTGTCTCATCCCATATTCCCATACCCCATCACCTCACTCCTGCCCTGCAGGGCACGCGATGGAGGAGGCGTTTGGTGCTGAGTATGTGTTGCTGCCTCCCCATGCTTTCAACCCCATAGACCCATGCCCCATCACCCCATAAACCCGTGCCTCACCACCCCATGACCCCATGTGACTTTCCTCTCAGAGCATGCAATGGAGGAGGTGTTTGGTGCCGAGTACGTGTCCCTGCATGTGAGGAAGAGCAACCGGGCGGCTTTCCACCTCTACACCGAAACACTCGGTTACAAGTGAGTTACCCAAACACTCGGTTACAAGTGAGTTACCCAAACACTCGGTTACAAGCGAGCTACCCAAACACTCGGTTACAAGCGAGTTACCCAAACACTCGGTTACAAGTGAGTTACCCAAACACTCGGTTACAAGTGAGTTACCCAAACACTCGGTTACAAGTGAGTTACCCTGAGCCTTAAACCCTAATCGTTCTCAGGTAGCTTCCCGTTACAAACGAGTTACCAGCTGGCTGGCTACCTGTCTAATTCATGCAAGTCATAACTCCGAAGCAAGGGAGCAATGTATGCTTCAACTGTGTTCAATAACTTTCTTCCATTCTCCTGTCTCTCCCCTCTCCTTACCTCCTCCACTCCACCCTCTTCCCCCACCCTCCGTCCATCTTTGCAGGATCAATGACATTGAGGCGAAGTACTATGCTGATAGCGAGGATGCTTATGACATGCGCAAGAACCTCAAGCCCGCTGCTGAGAAGCCCAAGAAGGAGCTCAAGGGAGGAAAGGCCGCTTCTGATGATAAGGCATCATCTAATAACGAGGATGTGGCCAAGGAAGATGCTGAGGCAGCTAGTAACGGGGATAGGGGCGGTGCAGAGGGGACCGGGAGGGCTGATGAGTCGAAGGCTGGGGAGAAAAAGGAGGAAGGTTCTGAGAAGGCGGGTGAGAAGGAGGTGGCTGCGCCGGCAACACCAGTGAGGGAGAAGGAGAAAGGGGCGTCCCGAGGGGGTGGCAAGGGCGGGTCTGGGCGGCGGCGCAAGGGCGGCAAGGGCTAATGAACATTGTTACTGTAGATTAGATTGCAATGCAATGCGTGAGATGGAATCGCGGGTGAGAAGTGGTTTTGCCGGCAACACCGGTGAGGGAGAAAGGTAGATAGGGGAGTTCCTTGTGATATGAGGGGCGGCCAAGGGCAAAAATGAATGGTATCGAATTCGGATTTGATTTGAGTTGCCCTTGGGCATTCCAGATTCATGAGCAATCACAGGGTACAGAGAGGATTCAGTTTGAGACACAGTTTATGGGCGTTAAACGAGGGATGTTGCCACATTTTTCACATTGTAGCCCAGTATTGGCTGCCTGCAAACAATTTCAGAACTAGTAGCCCTTTTTGCCGAGCCCTGCTGAGCAATTCGATATATTGGCACTGTACAAGAGATGCATAGTTGTTATCCAACCATTTCAAGTAGGTAAATAACATCACAAATCAGGGGTAGGAAGATTGGCAAGTCAGCTGGTGCGCCCTAATGCCTTGCCAACATTCCTGCCCCTGATGCTCTGACCTACCATAGCACGAACGAAAGCAAAGTTACCGTATCCCACCCAACACACACAGACCTCAAAACCATGACTGTAGGCCCTCATCTGCAGCAGCAACACCCTGCATACCAAGCCCACTCCACTAGAGCCTCGCCAAGACAGTGTACTCTAATACCAAGCAGCAGTAGAACCAGCAGCAGAACCAGCAGAACCAGCAGTAGCAGCATCAGGAATTTTGCCACCCATGAGCTGTCCGCCCCACGTCACACCTGCTGCGCTGCTGCCCGCCAGCACAGCATACCCGCTCACTGTGCTGTTCACTCCGCCATCACCACCTGGAAATCCACCTGAAAAACCACCTGCAGGCGGCTGCTGCGCTCCCCCCTGCTGCTGCTGCCCTCCTTGCTGCTGCTGCCCCCCCTTCTTCTGTCCGCCCTGCCTGGCAGGGCGGCCGAATGCGCGCATCACCAGCTCCCGCCCCATGGGCCTCCCACCCTTCCCGCTCCGCGCGCCCCCGGCGCTGCCTCCGCCGGCGCCTCCGCCGATCTTGCGCGGAAGCGAGGCGTTGGGGAGCACCGCGAGCAGCGCGTCGAGGGTGGCGGCGTCCGCATTCTCGAGGAACGCGTCGAGGCGCGCCTCCGCGTGCAGCAGCCACCACCCCGCGCGCTGCTGCCAGTCCGCCGCGGCGAGCGGCAGCGCGAGGACGTTCGTCGCGGCGGTGTCGCACACGGCGCCCTTCACGATTGCGAGCGAGTCGGGCGGACCGCCTGCCGCATCCACTAGGAGTGCCTCGACGAGAAGGTTGTAATTGCCAGTGGCGTTTCTGAAACAGGGGAAGGGAAGGAAGGGGAAGGGAAGGAGGGAAGAGGGGAAGGGAAGGAAGGGGAAGGGAAGGAGGGAAGAGGGGAAGGGAAGGAAGGGGAAGGGAAGGGAGGAAGAGGGGAAGGGGCTGACTTTTGAGTCGACTCGAAAGGCAGCGCCTCGACGAGTGTAATTGCCGGTGGCGTTTCTGAAACAGGGGAAGGAAAGGAAGGGGAGGGCAGGGAAGAGGGGACGGGAAGGAGGGAAGGGAGGAATATATTCCTAATGAGCTCGAAGATCAGAGTAACTTCTGCTAAGGGGTTTCGAATATATTGAGTGCACCTGGGGCGAGGCGCGTGCGAATCCAATGTCGAGTAACTACTTCTAGTAGAGCTGAAAGACTATGCGGTAAACACACAACAGATGTGAGGCGACAGATAGGAAGGCAGCGAGGCCTACTTGAAGATGGCGAGGTGGAAGCGGCCGTCAAGGATTTTCTGATCAGCCGTGCAGTTGGCCAGTCGCGCGCCGACATCGGCCGTCAGATTCCCGACAGCCGTCAGGTTTAGCGGCGGACCGTGTGGCGGCTTTCCGCCAGGGCCGGCGCCAGGACCTCCGCGCGCGCCCCCCGGTCCCTGACCGCCGGGAGGACCTCCGCCAGGCGGACCGCGCTGCGCCAATGCGGTCGTCGACACGAGGAGGAGGATGCACGAGAGGGTGACGAGCGCTTTGATTGCCATGGCTGGTGTCGTAGCTGCGATCGACGAATTGGCGAACGTTTGCTTCCTGCTGTCACTAGTCGCTCTGTTTTGGAGCCTAAGCTTGGGTCACTAAGTTACTTGTCGCTTTGGGGAGACTGGTATGGAGGTTGGTGATGAAAGTGCTAGGAGAGTCAAAGGCTATTCATATGCTAGGGAGTCAAAATCAGGAGTCAGCGACTCGCGAGTCAAACTTGGTGAAAACTGTGTTTCTGGTTTGGCCTTACGTATGGTATTACCAAGCCATGTACATGTCTCGCCGACTGCACAGGTTCGGAGCAACCAGACCATATGTGGAGGTTCGGTTGTAGATGTGTTGAAAATGTGGGACGATGAGAGCTGAAAATGTTCGACGATAATCAAATCAAAGACGTCAGTCAACGCAAACAAAAGGTGACTGCCAACAGCAGTGTTTCCTGCACATTGGTGGGTGCAGTATAAGATACAGTGCAGATAGCGAAAATGGTACTCATTATACATTCACCTCTTCACAAACATCGAGAATGCATTTTCGCAAGTGAAAGTGCACCTAGAGTATTTTCAACCCATGCAATGCTACGAAACAAAATAAACAAAACAAAAAAAAGAAGGGAAGTCTTCTGTCTTATTTTGTACGGCGTCCACCCCACATAACGAGCCTCAGCTCTCCAAAACATGGAACTTTCCCTGCTAGCCTTCCCCCGATCTATTCCGTATTGGCAGAACCATCACGCATGCTCTCCTCTGCTGCCTGCTGCTCCTTACCCCCCTGCTGCTGCCCATCCACCTCGATCTTCTTTCCCCTGCTGCACTTTCTCCAGCAATTTATCCTGCTCTGCCGTCAGCGACTTCTGCTCTCCCACTCGCTCGGGCTTCTCTTGCGCGCGCAGCTTCTCCCTCGCTCGCTGCGAGTTGAGGTACTCAAAGACAGCCACGTTACGGATATGGCAGTCGTCCTTGATGCACAGGTACCACCCCCACGCGTTCCCTGCGACGTCTGAGCTCTACTTTAGGTTACTCTGTCTTGGCAGATCCATCAGGTGCACTCTCCTCTGCTGACTGCTGCTGCTTGCCCCCCTGCTGCTCATCCACCTCCTCTTCCTTCCCCTGCTGCACTTTCTCCTGCGTTTTCTCCTGAGATTTCTCCAGCAATTTCTCCTGCTCTGCATTCTGCGCTTTCTCTCGCGCGCGCTGCTCCTCCCTCGCTCGCTGCGAGTTGAGGTACTCAAAGACAGCCACGTTGCGGATATGGCAGTCGTCCTTGATGCACAGGTACCGCCCCCACACGCTGTCGGAGATGGCTGGGAAGAAGGGCGCAAACACACGGTGCACCACGTAGAACCAGAAGGAGGCCGAGAGGATTCCGAGGGTGAAGCCAGCTAGAACCTGAAGGCGGGAAGGCGGAGGAGATAGGAAAATGTGTATGTGAATGTGGCTGTAAAATGTGAAGGTGGACGGGGATGGGCATGTCACATGAGGATGTGGCAGTCGTCCTTGATGCACAGGTACCGCCCCCACACGCTGTCGGAGATGGCTGGGAAGAAGGGCGCAAACACACGGTGCACCACGTAGAACCAGAAGGACGCTGAGGGAATGCCCAGGGTGAAGCCGGCTAGAACCTGAAAGGCGGGTGTGAATGGTGAGTGAAGGGACGAAGAGTGGTAAGGTGAAGCAAAGAAGGGTGCGAGCACACGGTGCACCACGTAGAACCAGGTGGAGGCCGAGAGGATTCCGAGGGTGAAGCCTGCTAGGACCTGAGGGATGGACGTAAGGTGGGTGAAGAAAAGGTGGGGAGGGAAGAAGAGGATCGAGGTGAAGAGAAGAAGGGCGCAAGCACACGGTGCACCGCGTAGAACCAAGTGGAGGCGGAAAGGTTGCCGAGGGTGAAGCCTGCTAGAACCTGGGGGCGGGTGTGAAGAGAGTGAATGGACGAAGAGTGGTAAGCTCGCGGGGAAGAAGGGCGCAAACACACGGTGCACCACGTAGAACCAGGTGGAGGTCGACAGGATTCCATTATGCAGGAGCGGGCAGAAAAAGAATGTACAATGCGGTAATTGTCGTTAATGCACAGGTAGACACACGGTGCATCAGGTGAAACCAGGTGGACGCAGAGAGGATGCCCAGGGCGAAGCCTGCGAGGACCTGATGGGCGGGGAAGGGGCGGAGTTACGAGTATTTGGATGTAGCAGTCGCCGTTAATGCACGGACACACACACACGGTGCACCAAGTAGAGCTGGACGATTTTTTTGTCGATTTAAAAACTGCCTCGTTCCAGAGAGAACCAGACGGAGGCGGCGACTCGGCGAGGATGCCCAGGATGAAACATGCAAGAACCTGGGGGGCGGGAAAGGGGATGAGGTAGGAGGAGAACGTAACGGTGAATTGAGGTGGCTGTGAAACGCGCATTTGAATGTGGATGGGGATGGGAATGGGGATGGATGGGGATGGGAATGGGGATGGGAATGTGAATGCGCAGACGTTCTTGATGCGCTCCCTGAAATGGTTGGTTGGGGAGAAAGAAGCATTCGTTAGTGGCAGTTCACTTCACAAAATGGTTTGGGCATGCCCGGGGCACAGACGCACTGGCAAGAGGGAAGTGGGTGACATGGGGTGATGAGGGGCATGAAAAGAAAGAGGGGGAGGGTGGTTAGGGGGCATGCAAGAAGGGGGGGCATGAGGGGGTAGGGGGCATGAGAGAGGGGAGAGGGAGGGGGTGGTTAAGGGGCATGAAAGAGGTGGGTGACATGAGGTGATGATAGGGGCATGAAAAGAAAGGGGAGGGAGGGGGTGGTTAGGGGGCATGAAAAAAGACGGGGCATGAGGGGGTAGGGGGCATGAAAGAGTGGGGGGAGGGATGAGGAAGGGAAGAGGGCATAAAACGGGAGGGGGGCATGAAGGGGGAGTGGAGGGGGGCATGAAGGGGGAGTGGAGGGGGGCATGAAGGGGGAGGGGGCAAGTGAATGAAGGGTGAATGGAAGAGGTGGTTTTAGACAGACTGTGAAGGGATGGGAGGAACCGGGAAAAAGAGGACGGGACTGGGAAAGGCGTGTGGCTTGACAAGTGTAAGAAGACGGGAGGGGAGTTGTGGAGGGTTAGACGATGTGCCATGTCAGGTGGATGTGCAATGTCGGATAGCTGTGCCATGCATGCAATATGGTTGTGTCACGTCAAACGCTTGGTTGGCCGTGCTTTGATTTGGTCACTGCCTCACTTCCACATGCCGCTTATCACATTGAAGAACTCTAATGAAACTCCCCATTTACTTTCATACCCCATATAAGCTCACCTGCGGTATCGTATGGTAACCGAGGTACACCCGCGAGGCCATGGTGAGAAAGGTGAAGGGCCACGGGAGGACGGCGGTGATCCATCGCCACCTCTCGTCCTCGTAATCCATTTTGTAAAACACGAGCCACGTCGCGAACGTCGCGAAGAACGACATGAATTGCGAATGCGCGGACGGCATGCCGTGCGAATCGCACACCTCGAGCGCCGCGCACGTGTGCGGCGGACGCGGCATCTCGAGCGCGTGCTTGATGACGTGGTTGAACGTGTCGTCCAATAGGAGGCCGAGCATGAAGAACATGGTCCGCAAATCGCGGCGGAAGACCACGTGGGTGGGGAAGCAGCCGAATGCGATGAACACGGGGACGAGCGAGGCCCATGCCATGACTACACCGAGGGGGTCATCGTGATAGTAACGAACGTGAGTAAGGTCCACCGCACGAAGCTCCATTTCGAGAAGACTTGAGATACGAGAGCAAAAAATTGCGATGAAACGGATTGAGGATAAAAACCAGACGGCAGACCTTGCGGTCTTATGGGCCAGACAGAAGAGGTTTGTCGATGTGTTGTGGCCTTGGAACCAGTTTATATTAGAGCTAGAATCGCGACGGCATTCGCGACTGTCCCTCTCGTGTGGCAGAGATGAAGCAAGAGACAGCGTGTTATCAACGAGGGGATAAAATCGGCCGCAACAAAGGACGATTTCACGTAGTCTCTAAGCGGTTACTATCGCATACCCCTCGACCAGCTTTGCGAAGGACGTTCTGACAGGATAAAAACACCTGTTGGGTAGTACTTCAGAGTCTCTTTAGTTTCGGACCGAGCTGACGTCGGTTTGTTACGCCCGTTTTCGTCAGCTCGGTCCGAAAGCACCATCTCGTGCTCGCGAACTCTGTTCTGGCCGAGAAGACATTTTGCGGACCGAACTCTAGTTACTAGGTGACGCGAACTGAAAAGCGAAAACTTTCCGTGTTCGATTTTGTAACCACGCCCTGCTCTGTTAGGGGTTTGAATGCAAAAACTAGTTAGCTTTTCCGCATTTCTGACTTTAATCGAGCAACGCAATTTCAGCTTGTTTTTAGTATTAGCTGTCGAGTTATCCACTCAGGGCGCCAGACAACTGACCAGCGACAGAGCTTCTCTTTGTTCTTGACCTCTCAATTCTAGAACCCGTCTCTCTCCGGTTAGCTTGTTTGGATCTTATCTTCTCCCTCTTGGTGAATCAGCAACCGGCGAAATGCCCGAAAAGCGCGACGGCGATGGTCCCGAGGGGCAGGAGCTGGTTCCGACGAAGCGGCAACGGACGGATCTGGTGGCGGTGTCACCTGGGGCAGATGGCGACAAGGGGAAGCAATTAACCGTCACTAAAGACGTAAGCCATTGCTAAATACATGCGCTTCCCTTCTCCTCGTCTGATGCGCTGAAGTGGCATTCGAAAACCATTCGCACAGAAGAATTAGGTTTGCCGACTGACTCAAGAGATACCTCGCGCTTCGAACCTCAAGGTTTTCTCCATCATTAGAACAAGTGCTGCTAAGGCTGAATATGAGGGGGCTGGCATCCCAACGGCTTAACAGAACTAATCATTGTTGATTCCGAGTCGTAGCACCTGATAGATGGCCGCTCATTGTCATCCCAATTGTCCCTTTGGGTTCCTGATTTCGTCACAAAAAAAAAAAGGTTCTATCAGCTGATTGAATGGAAGTGCATTTTGAAACGTCTGCGTACTACGCCTACTCTTTCCCACCTTGTAGTGGTTAGGTTGATTTATGGTAAAAACACTGTAGAGTATGGTCAAAGCACTGTAGACTATAGTCAACTAGGTCACTGGGATTCTCTACAGCTGGCAATTCGCTGATTCGTTTCAGCTGTCACCACCTGTACATGCGCCAACGGTGGTCTCGGTCTCCTCGTTTCTTGATGTGTTGTGCATGGCATGGCATGGCTTTGTACGTTGCCATTTGCCGTGCAGCGAGTGAAGGGGCCGCCGTCGCTGCTTGAGCCAACTAAAAAAATTACATCTCATCGTGTGATGTGTGTTGCGTTTTTGTGCGTGCCTTCCTTTGTACGTTGCCATTTGCCATGCAGGGAGTCAAGAGGACGTCGTCGCTGCTCGCTCCAATCATGCTGCTCACAGGCCATGCGGTGAGTACCACTACTCACACCAATGGGCCAATTTTCCATTTGCCCATCCCCTCTTTGTCTATCCCTTCACACGTCCCATTCCCCCATGCGCCTATTCCCCCATGCGCCTATTCCCCCATGCGCCTATTCCCCCATGCGCCTATTCCCCCATGCGCCCATTCCCCCATGCGCCCATTCCCCCATGCGCCCATTCCCCCATGCGCCCATTCCCCCATGCGCCTATTCCCCCATGCGCCCATTCCCCCATGCGCCTATTCCCCCATGCGCCTATTCCCCCATGCGCCTATTCCCCCATGCGCCTATTCCCCCATGCGCCCATTCCCCCATGCGCCTATTCCCCCATGCGCCTATTCCCCCATGCGCCCATTCCCCCATGCGCCTATTCCCCCATGCGCCTATTCCCCCATGCGCCCATTCCCCCATGCGCCTATTCCCCCATGCGCCTATTCCCCCATGCGCCTATTCCCCCATGCGCCTATTCCCCCATGCGCCCATTCCCCCATGCGCCTATTCCCCCATGCGCCTATTCCCCCATGCGCCTATTCCCCCATGCGCCTATTCCCCCATGCGCCCATTCCCCCATGCGCCTATTCCCCCATGCGCCTATTCCCCCATGCGCCCATTCCCCCATGCGCCTATTCCCCCATGCGCCTATTCCCCCATGCGCCCATTCCCCCATGCGCCTATTCCCCCATGCGCCTATTCCCCCATGCGCCTATTCCCCCATGCGCCTATTCCCCCATGCGCCCATTCCCCCATGCGCCTATTCCCCCATGCGCCTATTCCCCCATGCGCCTATTCCCCCATGCGCCTATTCCCCCATGCGCCCATTCCCCCATGCGCCTATTCCCCCATGCGCCCATTCCCCCATGCGCCTATTCCCCCATGCGCCTATTCCCCCATGCGCCCATTCCCCCATGCGCCTATTCCCCCATGCGCCTATTCCCCCATGCGCCCATTCCCCCATGCGCCCATTCCCCCATGCGCCCATTCCCCCATGCGCCCATTCCCCCATGCGCCTATTCCCCCATGCGCCCATTCCCCCATGCGCCTATTCCCCCATGCGCCTATTCCCCCATGCGCCTATTCCCCCATGCGCCTATTCCCCCATGCGCCTATTCCCCCATGCGCCCATTCCCCCATGCGCCTATTCCCCCATGCGCCTATTCCCCCATGCGCCCATTCCCCCATGCGCCTATTCCCCCATGCGCCTATTCCCCCATGCGCCTATTCCCCCATGCGCCCATTCCCCCATGCGCCTATTCCCCCATGCGCCTATTCCCCCATGCGCCCATTCCCCCATGCGCCCATTCCCCCATGCGCCCATTCCCCCATGCGCCCATTCCCCCATGCGCCCATTCCCCCATGCGCCTATTCCCCCATGCGCCCATTCCCCCATGCGCCTATTCCCCCATGCGCCTATTCCCCCATGCGCCTATTCCCCCATGCGCCTATTCCCCCATGCGCCCATTCCCCCATGCGCCTATTCCCCCATGCGCCTATTCCCCCATGCGCCCATTCCCCCATGCGCCTATTCCCCCATGCGCCCATTCCCCCATGCGCCCATTCCCCCATGCGCCCATTCCCCCATGCGCCTATTCCCCCATGCGCCTATTCCCCCATGCGCCCATTCCCCCATGCGCCTATTCCCCCATGCGCCTATTCCCCCATGCGCCCATTCCCCCATGCGCCTATTCCCCCATGCGCCCATTCCCCCATGCGCCCATTCCCCCATGCGCCCATTCCCCCATGCGCCTATTCCCCCATGCGCCTATTCCCCCATGCGCCCATTCCCCCATGCGCCTATTCCCCCATGCGCCTATTCCCCCATGCGCCTATTCCCCCATGCGCCTATTCCCCCATGCGCCCATTCCCCCATGCGCCTATTCCCCCATGCGCCTATTCCCCCATGCGCCTATTCCCCCATGCGCCTATTCCCCCATGCGCCCATTCCCCCATGCGCCTATTCCCCCATGCGCCTATTCCCCCATGCGCCCATTCCCCCATGCGCCCATTCCCCCATGCGCCCATTCCCCCATGCGCCCATTCCCCCATGCGCCTATTCCCCCATGCGCCCATTCCCCCATGCGCCTATTCCCCCATGCGCCCATTCCCCCATGCGCCTATTCCCCCATGCGCCTATTCCCCCATGCGCCCATTCCCCCATGCGCCTATTCCCCCATGCGCCTATTCCCCCATGCGCCCATTCCCCCATGCGCCCATTCCCCCATGCGCCCATTCCCCCATGCGCCCATTCCCCCATGCGCCTATTCCCCCATGCGCCCATTCCCCCATGCGCCTATTCCCCCATGCGCCTATTCCCCCATGCGCCTATTCCCCCATGCGCCCATTCCCCCATGCGCCTATTCCCCCATGCGCCTATTCCCCCATGCGCCCATTCCCCCATGCGCCTATTCCCCCATGCGCCTATTCCCCCATGCGCCCATTCCCCCATGCGCCCATTCCCCCATGCGCCCATTCCCCCATGCGCCCATTCCCCCATGCGCCTATTCCCCCATGCGCCTATTCCCCCATGCGCCCATTCCCCCATGCGCCTATTCCCCCATGCGCCTATTCCCCCATGCGCCCATTCCCCCATGCGCCTATTCCCCCATGCGCCCATTCCCCCATGCGCCCATTCCCCCATGCGCCTATTCCCCCATGCGCCCATTCCCCCATGCGCCCATTCCCCCATGCGCCTATTCCCCCATGCGCCTATTCCCCCATGCGCCTATTCCCCCATGCGCCTATTCCCCCATGCGCCCATTCCCCCATGCGCCCATTCCCCCATGCGCCTATTCCCCCATGCGCCTATTCCCCCATGCGCCTATTCCCCCATGCGCCTATTCCCCCATGCGCCCATTCCCCCATGCGCCTATTCCCCCATGCGCCCATCCCGCCATGCACCCTTTCCCCCATCCGCTTAAAACTTTGCCATAAATATCAGTCATGCTATTTTTGTAAGAATTTAACTAAGGAATCATATTCCTGCTTTTGCCTTTTCCCCATGAATGCGCCCATCCCCCATCCATGCGCCCATCCCCCCATCAATATGCGTCTATTCCCCCCTGTCTCCCATGTGCACATCCCCTTCTGCACACATCCCCCTTACAAACCCATTCCCCCATGCGCCCCGTTCTCGCATGCGCCCATCCCTCCACTCCTCCCTCTAGGCGGGGGTATTCACCATGAAGTTCAGTCCGGATGGGGAGGAAGTGTGAGGTTAGGATCATAGTACCAACCCACCCACCATCCCTGTTTCCACCCGCCTTCCATTCCCCGTATCTCCCATCCCCTCTATCTCTGCCTCCAGGCGGGGGTATTCACCATGAAGTTCAGTCCGGATGGGGAGGTCATTGCTTCGGGTTCACAAGACAAGGAGATCTGTAAGTGTGATTTCTTGTGTTACGTACTATTCTGTGAAAGCTTGCTAGCTACTTTGTATGAGTCACTACATTTTTGTGTGTGAGTGCCACTCCCCTTCTTCCTTCCCACCTCCCTCCTGCCCCCAACCTTGTTTTTTGCCACCTCCTCTTTAGTCCTGTGGCGTGCGCAGGGCGAGTGCGAAAGCTACATGGCGTCCCATCCCAAGGGCCAAAAGAACGGCATTCTAGAGCTTCAGTGAAGGAAAGCACACCCCTGTATTCCTTCTCTCTCTTGAACCCTTTTTAACCATCCCCCCTCCTCTTTTCAGTCATGTGTCAGGGCGAGTGCGAGGATTACACGGTGCCTAAGAACCGCAAGAACGCTGTGCTTTAGGTGCACTGGTATTAAGTCATCAGGTGGCATGCTACACGCGCACTCGCCACTTGCGCACTCATCACTCGTGCTCTCACCACTTTATGCGGTCGTCTTGCGTCCTGCTGTTTAGTAGCGCACCATCCACCTCCCCCCGTCACCTCCCTTTATGATTTATCGGCAGTCCTGTGGCGCAAAGAGGGCGAGTGCGACAAGTACATGGTGCTCAAGGGCCATGAGAACGCCATTCTCGAGCTGCAGTGAAGGAGCATGCACCCCTTATACCCTCTCTTAATGTTTTTTCCGTATCCCCCTCCCCCACCAGTTCTGTGGTGCATAGAGGGCGAGTGCGACAACTACATGGTGTTCAAGGGCCAAAATAACTCCCTTCTCGAGCTGCAGAACACGCTCAGTCATCCCCTTTCCGCCCTCCCCACCCCACACCTCTCTTTTTATTCTCAGTCCTGTGGCGCATAGAGGGCGAGTGCGACAACTACATGGTGCTCAAGGGCCACAAGAACGTGATTCTCGAGCTGCAGTGGACGTCAGACGGCCACAGCATCGTGTCTGCCAGCCCCGACCAGACCGTGCGGGCTTGGGACGTGGAGACAGGGAAGCAGGTGAGAGGTGGAGGGGGGTGGTTTGCATGGATTCAGTGTGCTATGCTGTAGCTGCACTGCAGTGGACGTCGGATGGCCACAGCATCGTGTCTGCCAGCCCTGATCAGACCGTGCGAGCGTGGGATGTGGAGACGGGGAAACGGGTGAGAGCGGGAGTGGGCATGTGGGGCCATGTGGGATTTGGAGACAGGCAAGCAGGTGAGAGACAGAGGAGTGGTTTGCATGGATTGGGCAGCTGCTGCTGGGGTGGCGTCTGCATTGACTCAAAAGTCCCTCACCCCATTCCATTCCTACTCCACAACAGATAAAGAGGATGGCGGAGCATTCGTCATTCGTCAACAGCTGCTGCCCAGGGGCCGGTGCCCGCCCAGAGACGCCCTCTCAGGCTTACTCTCCCTCTTGCACCCTGACCTTCCAACCCCAATCCCCTCCTTCCCACTCTCTTCCCCCCACCCTGTAACAGATCAAGAAGATGGCAGAGCACTCCTCGTTTATCAACAGTTGCTGCCTTTCTCTGCCTCTCCGTGACTCTCTCGTCTTCCTTCCCCCACCCCTCCCCCGCCTCCTGCAACAGATCAAGAAGATGGCGGAGCATTCGTCGTTCGTCAACAGTTGCTGCCCGGCCCCCAGAGGCCCGCCGCTCATCGTCAGTGGCAGCGACGACGGCACGGCCAAGCTGTGGGACATGCGCGTCAGGGGATGCATCCAGACATTTCCAGACAAGTACCAGGTGGGTGAAGGGGCTGCTGCCCGGCCCCCAGAGGCCCTCCTTTGGTAGTCAGTGGCAGCGACGACGGCATGGCCAAGCTGTGGGACATTCGCGTTCGCGGGTGCATCCAGACGTTCCCCGACAAATACCAGGTGGGTGAACCCTCGTATGCTACTTTAGTGGTTGCTGCCTGCCACCCAGAGGCCCCCAGAAGCCCTCCGCTGATAGTCAGCGGCAGCGATGACGGCACGGCCAAACTGTGGGACATGCGCGTGCGCGAATGCATACAGACTTTCCCTGACAAGTACCAGGTGGGTGATCCCTCGTCCGCTGCTTTAGGGGCTGCTGCCCCGGCCCCTGACGACCCCCGCTCATCGTCAGCGGTAGCGACGACGGCACAGCCAAGCTGTGGGACATGCGCGTGTCGCGGATGCATCCAGACTTTCCCCGATAAATACCAGGTGGGTGAGATGTGATGTACTACGCACCTCATCTGCTGCGCTACGGGCTGCTGCCTGCGTGGGGGGGTGCATCCAGACGTTTCCTGATAAATACCAGGTGGGGGTGGGCTGTAATAATCTATCAGCCATGCGCTTGTGCGTGCGGGAGGTGTGCGTGTGTGAATGCATGTGTGCATGCGTGCGGGTGGGCATGGTGCGTGGGTGGTGAGTTTGTGGTTTCTGTGTTTGATTCGAAGTGACCTTGTTTATCAGCCGAACTTATGCACTTCCCAACCGAACCCTCTCCCTCCCTCCATCCCACAGGTCACTGCCGTGGCATTCTCTTACAACGGGGACAAAGTGTACTCGGGCGGAATCGACAACCAAATAAAGGTCTGGGACCTTCGAAAATCAGGCGGCACATCAACAGCAGCAGGGGCGGGGGGAGAGGGCGCAGCAGAGGGCGGAAGCGGAGAGACCGGGGGCGGGGGCGGCAAAGGAGCGGAGCCGGTGATGAGGCTGCTGGGGCACACAGATACGATCACGGGCATGAGGGTCAGCCCGGATGGGGCGTATCTGCTCACCAACGCCATGGACTGCACCCTGCGCATCTGGGACCTCCGGCCCTACGCCCCGCAGGTGTGCTGTGTGCTGTTCGCATCATACCCAACCATACACCCTGTAGATGGCGTTCATGATAAAAGATTGTTTCATACATCTTATCAAGTGGCTTTTGAGACGTCTCAAAAAACATTTTTCTATCGTATGCAACCATACACCCTGTGAATGGCGTTCGTTCTCACTTCACTCCCCTATCCACTCATCAACACCATGGGATGCATACACTCCATGCATCTGACCGGATCTATGCGCCCCAGCTGCGTTTTGGTGTGCTCTCTGCATCATGAGCTCTCAGTTGAGCCTTCAAGTCTAGTTTTGAGGCGCCTCAAAACTAGACATCATGAGCTCTCAGTTGAGCCTTGAAGTCTAGTTTTGAGGCGCCTCAAAACTAGACATCATGAGCTCTTAGTTGAGCCTTCAAGTCTAGTTTTGAGGCGCCTCAAAACTAGACATCATGAGCTCTCAGTTGAGCCTTCAAGTCTAGTTTTGAGGCGCCTCAAAACTAGACATCATGAGCTCTTAGTTGAGCCTTCAAGTCTAGTTTTGAGGCGCCTCAAAACTAGACATCATGAGCTCTCAGTTGAGCCTTCAAGTCTAGTTTTGAGGCGCCTCAAAACTAGACATCATGAGCTCTCGGTTGAGCCTTCAAGTCTACGCCTCGCAGGTGCGTTCCTGTGCGCTTCTCAAACCATGCACCCCCCAATCCGAGTGGTGCCGTGCGGGCTTCTCTCTAACTGCAACAAGTGGCATGGTGAAGATCCGGCGAATAATATTAACAAGTACTTCTTACTTCTTACTTGGGCATCTTACTCCTTTTCCTCGCCCTCCTCTTGAGCGTCTCTGCCGTTCATTCCCTCCACTTCTCAGATTGGATACCTCATTCCCACCTCCACCCCTTTGCGACGCATCCACCATTCTAACACCCCTGTGCTTCCCTCCTCCCCGTTCTCCACATACGAACCCTCCCATGCCGCGCCTTCCGCCTTCCGCCCCCACTCTGCTCCCCCCGCTCCTCTCCCTCCGCTCCTCTCCCTCCGCCCCTCTCCTTCCGCCCCCCTCCCTCCGCCTGTCGCCCTCCGCCCGTCGCCCTCCTCCCCCTTTCTCCCTCCACACCAACCCTCCCGCCCCTCTGCACAGTGGGCACCAGCACAGTGGGGAGGAGATCCCTGAGACACAGCACAGCTCAAATGCGAGTGGCCTGAGGCCCCTTTAACTACTAGCCGCTCAGCCTCTCTACTCCACATGCGTCATACTATCCCTCCCCGTTGCGCAGAACCGGTGTGTGAAGATCTTCACAGGGCACCAGCAGAGCGTGGAGACGAACTGGCTCAAATGCGATTGGTGTGAGGCCCTTACAAGCACTCCCCCCTCATCCTCTCCACTCCACATGCGCTGTGCTAACCCCCCCTGTTCTCCTCCCCCACCCTCCCCATTGCGCAGAACCGGTGTGTGAAGATCTTCACAGACCACCAGCACAGCGTGGAGAAGAATCTGCTCAAATGCGATTCGTGTTTAGCCCCTACAAGCACTCGCCGCTCAGCCCCTCCACATGTGCCGTACTAACCCCCCTTTTTCTCCCCGAAACCACCCGTCCCCATCACCCAGAATCGTTGTGTGAAGATATTCACAGGGCACCAGCACAGCGTGGAGAAGAACCTGCTGAAGTGCGATTGGTCGCCGGACGGCTCCCGCGTGACAGCTGGCAGCGCCGACCGCATGGTGTATGTGTGGGACACGACGATGCGGCGGATTCTTTACAAGGTACGTATGGGGTTGATTATACAGGGTACAGCGGTGGGCGGGTGTTAAAAGGGATGACATTAATCAGCACGAGATGCATGCTAATCGCATGGTGTATGTGTGGGACACCACAATGCGGTGAATTCTTTACAAGGTACGTATGGGGTTGATTATACAGGGTACAGCAGTGGGTGGGTGTTAAAAGGGATGGGATTAATCAGCACAAGATGCATGCTAATCGCATGGTGTATGTGTGGGACACCACGATGCTGCGGATTCTTTACAAGGTATAGAGGTTATTTGTGAGCGCAGGGTGCAGGGTGCAGGGAGGGACATGGTAACCGCATGGTGTATGTTTGGGACAGGACAATGCGGCGGATTCTTTACACGTATGGGGTACAAATGGTGCAGGGAGGGGCATGGTAACTGCATGGTGTATGTGTGGGATACCACCATGCACCGGACTCGTTACAAGGTACAGGGTTGTTTGTTTGATCATGTAGGATGCTGACCTTTGATCATGTAGGACGCTGACCTTTGATGCAACGTTCATCTTCATTGCATCGCGTTTGTTTGAGGCACCGCCATTAGCCAAGTCTGGTGCAAGGTATACCTCTGAGGCTGCTTTTGAGTCGACCCAAAACCACGAGCCAAGTCCGGTACGAGGTATACCGCTGAGACGCCTCACAAGGTATAGGGTTGATCATGGAGGCAACAGGGTTGTGCTAAGACGGATGGCCGCCTGTGCGAAGTACTTTCTGATTGCATGGTATGGGGGGGATTGCATGGTATGGGGGGGATTGCATGGTATGGGGGGGATTGCATGGTATGGGGGGGATTGCATGGTATGGGGGGGATTGCAGGTATGGGGGGGATTGCATGGTATGGGGGGGATTGCATGGTATGGGGGGGATTGCATGGTATGGGGGGGATTGCATGGTATGGGGGGGATTGCATGGTATGGGGGGGATTGCATGGTATGGGGGGGATTGCATGGTATGGGGGGGATTGCATGGTATGGGGGGGATTGCATGGTATGGGGGGGATTGCATGGTATGGGGGGGATTGCATGGTATGGGGGGGATTGCGTGGTATGGGGGGGATTCCATGGTATGGGGGGGATTGCATGGTATGGGGGGGATTGCATGGTATGGGGGGGATTGCATGGTATGAGGGGGATTGCATGGTATGGGGGGGATGGCATGGCATGGGAGGTTCAACTGTGCCTGATGTGTTTTGAGTCAACTCAAACGCCTTGTGCTATGACGGATGGCCGTTTGTACAGAGCACATGCTGATTGCATGGTATGGGGGGTTCAGCTGTGCCTGATCCCAATCCCCTACCCCATCTCCATATCTCTCCCATCGCCCTCCTCACGTGATGCTGCTGCAGTTGCCGGGTCACAACGGATCAGTGAACGAGGCGGTGTTCCATCCCTCACAGCCCATCATCGGCTCCTGCTCCTCTGACAAACGCATCTATCTGGGCGAGCTTGATCCTTCCCTCAAGTGAACCTGATGCTTGGGTTAGGTTTTTTTACATGTACGGAAGTTGTTATTTTTTCCCTTTTGCTCATGCAGTCATATTTACTTAAATCCATTTCCTGTACTACGGTAGGTTTGAATCTCATGTCAGACAGTGGTAACCACACGCAGTAGCCTAGGGAAGCACTGCCACAGATGGGAGAGGTTGAACTGCTGCAAGCATTAACACATGAGTCTCTACAAGTTTAACTGGAGTGTATGCAATTCTGCTCAGGCAGGTGCCCAACATCTGTCAAGTAACTGACAGTGCTGCCAAGGTTGCTCACATTAGTCACAGAACCACAAGCACATGTCTGTCTGCCACCACAGGGGACCCTCCCACAGGGTACTGCTCCTCCCATGCATAAGCCCACCCCTACTCTGTGACAAGCAATTCTCCTGCAATAGAGGTTGCTGTAGTACGGTAGCTTAATAGATCTCACTTTGCATGTCAGCTTCATCCATATTACACAAGCAGCATGTCTTCATGTGCAGCATATTGCAGCGCTTATTTCGCATGTACAAAACAGGGATCTGTGCCAGGGGCAAAGCACAGTTGGAGCAGCAGCAGAGCAGAGCAGAAGAGTGCACGCAAGGGCGGAAGGGGCCACAAGGGGGGTCACCGAGCTTCAAACTGCACAACTGGTCACACAGAGGGACGGAGGGTGGGAAACGGACACATGGTGGGAAATGGTTTAGCAGGAGAAGTTAGGATGGGGCATGCAGGGCGGACAAGAGCAGGGGCGAGATGTTGGGATGGTTGATTCTGGCATGGTGAGATGGTAGCATGGTCGCATGGTGAGATGGTGTCATGGTTGATTGTGGCATGGTGAGATGGTAGCATGGGCGCATGGCGAGATGGCGGCATGGTTAATTGTGGCATGGTGAGATGGTAGCATGGTCGCATGGTGAGGTGGTGGCATGGTCACAGGGACTCGTAGCAAGAAGATGAGGGTGAGAATTAATTGAGAGAAACAACAGCTTAGTGACAGCAATGACACAACAAGAAGCAAACGAGGTTACCATGTAAAACAAACAGAACAAAACATGATCTGGAACAAGGGTTCGGGCATAAGCGGGTTTCCGGGTTCAACTGGGTTTCGGGTTTCCGGGCATAAGTGGAACAAGGGTTACCTAACCACACTTGAACCTTTCGGAAAAAAAAACATAGTTGTCAGCACACATGTCTGCGAGAAGACTTACTGCGCCGCGTTCGCTTCTTGTAAAGAATTCTATAACCGCACTCTCGACATTGGATCACGTCTCCGGGCTTCAACGTGTTATCAGCACCGCATTCTGGCACGCATAAACACGACCGAATAACATAAGGAAATGAGAAAACTAACTGTAGAACAGCTAAAGAAAAGACGCTTCCGAGGAGGAGAGCGGCTTAAGAGCTAACTCGAGGAACCGAGGCCAGGGCGGAAAAGAAGGATCGTACCCCCGCACATGTAAGTTACTGGCTCCTGCGGCGGCATGTATCCCCCTACGTCCGCCATGGCGTTTACTGACCGTAAGAAAGAAAACTACGCTAAGGAAAACCTCCAAGCAAGCACTGAGCAGTTACGAACGACTAGCTGATTTCAGAAAGCAAGCTCGAGCCAAGTGCTTCTATTGGGAATGCAGGGGTTACTGGGCAGAAAAGGCAGGGTGCGGTGTGTTCAGGACGTGTCGCAGCCTCGCCTTGGTGCGCTTTATCGCGACGCAGGCATTTTTTTCCGAGACTTCCGTGCTGGCGGGAGCGTGAGTCAACGTGCGCACGAGCTCACACTGATGAACTCGTGACTGATGAGAACCACCCTTTGAACACGCCCCTGACTACTCAAGTTTCCATACAAGGCTAGTGGCAAACACAACTGTATTTTACACACTATCATACATCCCATATATTTAGTTACAGTTTAACAAGTGCCTACAGGCTAGACTTGATTGAAAGTAGCCTACAATACATACTCACACATACACATCACAGCTGCACAGCGAGCATAAAGAATCAAACTGTGCAGAGAACAGCCCACAAGGAAACTAGAGCTGGTGTGGAACAACCGTATCTACATGCATTGTACTCTGCGAGAGAATTTATTCATGGCACCCTCACCAGAACATTCATTCCTATCAAGGAGAACCACTCAAAAAACCAAGAGAAACGCCAGGCATTACATTCCTGCACACATCACCCAGGCATGTTAACTGCCTACCTTTGGCACATCACCTATGCTTTTTCCCCTGCTGCCCTCATCCCATCCCTGCTCATGCCTCTTTCATGCCTCATCTTCCTGCAAATTTCTCGAAGTCCTTCCATCGCACGTTCTAAAAGTCTTAGCCATCCCTACTGCCTCTCCCACCTGGCTCCTTCATACCTCTCCCTCCTGCCTCTCCCTCCTTTATTCCTCTCCCTTGCGCCCCACTCATCATCACGCATCTTCATTCTTCCACGCCCCTCGCCCTCGGAAGTAATCCCAAGGGCTCGACGGCACACGAGGCGTACTCGCAACCGACGACGCCCCAGCAGCCCTAGGAGTACCACCCCCCATAGGGTGGGGAGCGGTGCCGGGCCGAGAATGGGCATGAGAGAGTGAGGCCGATCGGGGGATGGATGATGGCACGGAAGGGGGAGGGAGGCGCGGGGAGGCGTTGCGGGGAGTGTGCGAGGCAGCAGTTGGGGTGGAGGGGACGGAGGGGATGGAGGTGAGGGGGAGGAGGAAGTGGAAGGTGGGGTCGTCTTGGAGCTCGGGGGGAGGCTCTACCTCGTCCAGGTTTATCTCGGGTAGGCTGTGTACGATCTCGTCCGTTGTGAAGGGGATGCTGTGATGAGAAGGAGGGTAGGAGGGGAAGGGGAAAATGCAGAGAGAAACAAGGTCAAGAAGAGGAGGGAAAATACGAATATCACACAGACCCTTGCATGCTTGTGTATCATCCCATCATCAACCCCCTACTCACCAGTTCCTGCCCTTGTACTCACCCTTCGCCGTCGCGCAGCAGCATGGGGCTGTCGTCCACCATCTCGCTCCACATCCGCTCTCCTGCGATGCTACAACCAAACATATCAACCTGTCCTGTCCCCACAACACTCACCCTTCACCGTCCCATAGCAGCATGGGGCTGTCGTCCACCATCTCGCTCCACATCCGCTCTCCTGCGATGCTACAACCAAACATATCAACCTGTCCTGTCCCCACAACACTCACCCTTCGCCATCCCTTAGCAGCATGGGGCTGTCATCCACCATCTCGCTCCACATCTGCTCGATCACACTCGGGTCCACACCCTTGGTGCCGTACTTGTCGTCCTCGTACCAAATGCACATGTGCACCAGCTGGTTCATACTTAAATCAGGACACAGCATCCGCAGCTCCTCCAAAGTTCGCCGCGGTTTGTGGTCCAGGGTCTGGTGGGAGGGTAGCGGAGGGACAAGGGGAAACGGTTGAATTGAACTTGTATCCACGCCCTTGGTGCCGTACTTGTCGTCCTCGTACCAGATACACATGTGCACCAGCTGGCTCATGCTCAGATCAGGGCATAGCATCCACAGTTCCTCTAGTGTCCTGCGGGGCTTGTGATCCAGAGTCTGGTGGGGGGAAAAGGGAGGGACAGTGGGGAGTCGGTTGAGTTGAACGGCCATGGCCTGTCGTCCTCGTACCAGATGCACATGTGCACCAGCTGGCTCATGCTCAGATCAGGGCACAGCATGCGCAGCTCCTCTAGTGTTCGCCTCGGCTTGTGGTCCAGGGTCTGGAGGGTGGGGGGGAGGGGAGGGACATGGGAAACAGTAGAGTTGAGCAATCATTACTTGTCATCCTCGTTCCAGACGCACATGTGCACCAGCTGGTTCATGCTCAGATCCGGACACAGCTGGCTCTACCCCCCCAGCACCTCCCTCAGATGCACCTCCCGTCATGCACCCACTGCTGCAGGGGTGCACTGCTGCAGGGGTGCACGTGTGACTTACCAGGTAGGGCAGGCAAGGCGAATTGTTGCTACTTACAAGGAAGAGAATGGTCTGCTGCAGGTGCGGCAGCTCCTTCCGCAGCGGCTCTCTCTCCCCTCCAAGCACCTCCCTTAGTTGAACCTCCGCGACATGCACCCACTGCTGCTGCACTGCTTACCAACCAGGACGAACAGACACATTGGCTTGCCATTGCCACTCACCAGGAAGAGAATGGTCTGCTGCAGGTGCCGTAGCTCCTTCCTCAGGGGCTCCCTCTCCCCCCCCAGCACCTCCCTCAGCTGCACCTCCACGTCATGCACCCACTGCTCCAGACGGCTGAGCCCCTCCTCCATCATCTCCCCGTTGCTGTACGTGCACGGGCACCACTGCGCGCGCACCATCAGGCTGCAACGGAGGAAGGGGACACGAGGAAAGGAAATTGAACTTGTGTGAGAACCTCTTCCGGTGCACCCACTGCTCTGCTCCAGACGGCTGAGCCCCTCCTCCATCATCTCCCCGTTGCTGTACGTGCACGGGCACCACTGCGCTCGCACCATCAGGCTGCAACGGCTCAGAGTTTGGTTGGGATTTGGGATGAGAGGGAAAAAAAGGCTAAGACGAGTGTCCCACCGGCATCCATCGCTGCTCCAGACAGCTTAGCCCCTCCTCCATCCTCTCCCCGTTGCTGTACGTGCACGGACACCACTGCGCGCGCACCTCAGGCTAATAGGAGGGAAGATGGGAGGGGGGTGGGGGTGGATGGGAAGAAGAGAGGAATAGAATGAGGCAACTCCCAGTTTCAAGCCCCTCCTCCATCAACTCGCTCACCCACCCATCCACCCATCCATCCACTCACCCACCCACCCACCCACTTACCCACCCACCCACCTGTTAAATATCTTCATGTTGACAAAGAACAGCAGCTGGCGAATCAGAGCGTCCAGCAGCGCTGCCGGCACGTGATTGGCCACAAGGTTCCCGATGATGTGGCGCAGAGTGATGACCACGTTGGTCCACGACGATATGATGTGTTTCCGCATCGCTGTCGCCGCGTTGCGCTGCGGCGCCCGGCCCCCCCGCCCCCGCCCCCTCGCCCCTGCCGGGGGGATGCCCGGCCCTCCGTTTTCCCCAGCTTCTGCTCCCTCGCCTGCTTCCGCCTCTGCTCCTCGTGCCTGGAGACGACCGAGGCAGATAGGGTTTGCACAAGAGCAGGGTAAACAGTTGGGAGACGGGAGAGAAGGGAGAGAGGGGTTCAGCGTGACCATTCCCCACACACAGAGCCAACGCCAACCCCCAAATCCACTTCCCAACCCCCAGGGCCATTCCCCAACCCCCAGGGCCATTCCCCAACCCAGAAGACCACTCTTCAACCCCCAAGACCACTCCCCAACCCCCAAGACCACACCCCACCGCACCACACCTGAGGGTTGAAGTGGACGGCGAGCTCTGTCTTGGCACTGTCACGGATGGTTACATACAGCCGCTCGATGCCGGTCGCCAGCTGCTGCTTGAACAGCATCAGATCCACCTGCTGCATCGTTGCGCTGGGTCGCGGCTGGATGGGGAGGTGACAGGGAGGAGTGGAGGGAAGGGAAAGAGTTAGTGAGTGAGTGGCTTCTTGTTGAACCTCCTTGTGCTGCTTGAGGAGCATCAGATCCACCTGCTGCATCGTCGCACTGGGTCGCGGTTGGAGTGGGGGTGGGAGTGATGGGAAGTAAGGTACGGATGGGAAAGAGGTTGAGAACGGTGTATACTCTTGTGGCTTTCACAAGGTCACCTGCTGAACTGTTGTGTTGAAACCCAAGTTGGATGTGCTAATGTAATAATGCGATAATGAGACAATATGATTATGTGACAGTGTGATAATGTGATAATGTTGGAAGAGCTGTGCAGGGGAAGAAACTTTGAGACGTCTCAAAACAATAAGGGGTCGAGGCGGGGAGAGAATGAAAGAGCAATAACTGCATCACATTACATCAGAACCTGACAGGACCACAAACTTACCCACAGCACCGCATGTCACCCCACAGCACTGCATTGCATCTCACCGGAGTGGGGGGGCGAGCGCCGAAGAAGCCAAACGTGGTGACGCGCTCCAACTTGGGCTTCTCTGCTGGGGCCTTGTACACCACCTGGGAGGGGAGGGGGGGCGGGGGAGTTGGAAGGGTTTAGGGACAGGGGGAGCAGCTTGGGCTTCGGGGGAGGGAGGGGTTCAGCCAGCTGCAGGTTTCGGGTTTAGGGACAAGGGGAGAAGCTTGGGCTTCTCTGCTGGCGGCTTGTACGCCACCTGGGGAGGAGGGGAGGGGAGAGAGGGGGGAGAGGGTGGAGAGGGCGAAGGAGAACTGAAAAGGAGGGGATATTGAAAACGGAAGACGGAAATGGGGCAGGAATTTGTGGGGGGGAAATGAGGGTATGGAATCCTGCACAGGGGGGTTACATGGGAAAACGCCCTCACACACTACGTCATCTAATTTATACTCCACCCTGGCACCTACTACCTAACCTTCATGCCTCACCCTCCCCAGTTCCCGCCTGCACCAGATACAGCAGCACAGCGTGGTTGCTGAGCCAATAACTCAAGGTGCTCATGTCACTGGAGCGAAACACCATCATAGCATCTCATCCCAGATCCCACCACACCAGTACCTCCATCGAACCCCCCCCCCCACCCCCAGCACCCATCTGAACCAGGTACAGCAGCACCACGTGGTTGCTGAGCCAGTAGCTCAAGGTGCTCATGTCACTCAACCGATATAACACACTCCCAACATGCACGTCCCTTCCTATCCTATCCGCTCACCCCGCACCCTAGAACTCCACAGCAGTGCCCACCTGCACGAGGTACAGCAGCACAACGTGGTTGCTGAGCCAGTAGCTCAAGGTGCTCGTGTCATCAAAGCGAGACACCATCACAACATCTCTTCCCAGATCCCACCACACCAGTACCTCCCCCTAAACCTCCTCAACTCCCCCAACCAAGCGCCCACCTGCACGAGGTACAGCAGCACCACATGGTTGCTGAGCCAGTAGCTCAAGGTGCTCATGTCATCGGAGCGAGACACCATCTGGAAGGTCTCAATGATTCGGTCAAACGCGTTGGTTTTCTCGGCCTGGAACACTCGCCAGTGCAGCAGCGACCGGTACACCACACACGCTGCCACTGGCTGGCCTTGCGGACCGAAGGGGAAGCGGCTGACAGCTATCTCGTTCAGAAGCACCTCCTGATGAGGGGGGGTGTGGGAGGGTGGGGGACAAGAAGATGAAAAGGAAAGGCGAGAGAGAGGGGGGAACGAGTTGGTATTTTCTGCCAGGCCGCCACAGGTTGAGCCTATGAGGCGGAGATAAAGAGTGGGTGGGAGGGAGTGCCAACTCGTTCAAGCTTGATGCAAGAGACAGGCCCACTCTGATTGGCGGGACAGAGTGGCGGGACAGGTCACTCTGAGATGCGAGAGGGCAGATGCAGGGATGGATGGCAGGAGGAGCGAAGAAGAGTGAGAGGGGAGAGAGATACAAAGGAAGGGGGAGGGATATGAAAGTGGAGGAAGAGAGACGAACAAGAAGGATAAGAATAGGAGAGGAGGGTGAGGACGAGGAGAAAAGTGCAGGGGAGGGGGTGGAAGATGAGGGAGGGAGAAGGGAAGAAAGGGAGAATCTGCACCTCAAACGGAGCTTGTTCCTCGCTGATATATTAGGCGACAGGAAAATCTGCAGAGTGCGCTGCGTGAGAGCTCACCTGCTGCTTGTCGATGGGCATGGCCGGATTGGCGTTGGCCATGCTGGCCTGGAAGGCAATCAGCCTCTGACTCAACGTGCGCACCTCGCGCGATTTCCTGCGGTGAAAAAAGAGAGTGGGGAGGATACGAGGGGGAGTAAGGAGGTGCGTGTTTGTGTGTGCGTGCGCATCAGGGAAGGAGTAAGGAAAACAGCGTGGTGAGCGGAAGCATTCAGGAAAGCACATGGATGTTTAAGGAACTTGCAGCTAGAAAATACACATCCAAAGCAGCCTCACACACCCAACCACCCATCCTCACTCAACCACCCATTCTCACTCAACCAACCATCCTCACTCAACCAACCACCCTCACGCAAGAGGATGCACCCAACCTTTTGAAATTTCTCAAAAGGGATTTCCTCGTGCTAATGCCTCGTGTATCTCCACCTTCCCACTTTTGATCTACCCAACCACCACACCAGCACTCGACAACCAACCCATATACCCCACCCCACCGTCCCCAATCACCCCACCACCCGCCCGCACTCACCCGAGCAGCTTCTCCTGCAGCTCATGGCATCGTGCCAGTGCCTCCCGCATCTCCTCCTCCCGCGCTGCCACGTTCCTCTCCGCCTCCTCTGCTCTCGCCCTCTCCGCCCCCGCCAGTGCCGCTGCCACCTCTGCCTTGTGTACCGCCTCCTTGTACGCCGCCCGCAGCCAGTTGTTCTCCTCACGCATCTGGTGTGGAGGGGGAAACAGAGTGGAGTGAGGGATGTAGGGGTGATCTCTCTGCCCCTGCCAGTGCTGCCGCCACCTCTGCTTTGTGCACCGCCTCTTTGTAGGCTGCTCGCAGCCAGTTGTTCTCCTCCCGCATCTGATGGGGGAGGGGAGGAACAGAGTAAAGGACACAGGGATGACAGGGGCCCGCATGTGCCGCCAGTGCTGCCGCCACCTCTGCCTTGTGCACCGCCTCCTTGTATGCTGCCCACAGCCAGTTGTTCTCCTCTCGCATCTGGAGCGCAAGGGTAAGAACAATGAACAAAGAGAGGCACCTAGCTCCTGCCAGTGCTGCCAGTGCTGCCAGTGCTGCCAGTGCTGCCAGTGCTGCCAGTGCTGCCAGTGCTGCCAGTGCTGCCAGTGCTGCCAGTGCTGCCAGTGCTGCCAGTGCTGCCAGTGCTGCCAGTGCTGCCAGTGCTACCACTGCTGCCAGTGCTGCCAGTGCTGCCAGTGCTGCCAGTGCTGCCAGTGCTGCCAGTGCTGCCAGTGCTGCCACTGCTGCCAGTGCTGCCAGTGCTGCCAGTGCTGCCAGTGCTGCCAGTGCTGCCAGTGCTGCCAGTGCTGCCAGTGCTGCCAGTGCTGCCAGTGCTGCCAGTGCTGCCAGTGCTGCCACCTCTGCCTTGTGCACTGCCCCCTTGTATGCTGCCCGCAGCCAGTTGTTATCCTATTCACCCATCCTACCATCCCACCCTCACCTTCTGTGCAATCTCCACTTCCCGCTGCATGCTCGCCAGAATCTTATCAAAGTTGCTCGCCGAAAACGTCAGGCTCTTCCCCCGCGGCGTCCCCGCCCCACTCCCCCCAGGCGTGGGCGGCGTCCCCATCCCCATCCCCACCCCTCCCCTCGGCGACGCCTCACTCGCCCCACTCCTAGCCGATCTCGACCCCACTCCACCCAGCTTCCTCCCACTCCACGACCCCTCCTCCCCACGCCCCACCCGCGCTCCCCCTTCAAACTCCCGAGCCGGCGAGCCCCGGAACGAGCTGCTCCCATACCGGCCAAACTCCTTCCCTCCCGCTCCACCCCCTCCCGCGCCAGCCGACATTCTCCTGGGCCGTTCTGAACTAAGCGGACCCCTGTCAGCACTCAGGGGCTCTCGGTCCTGCTCGGCTGCTGCTGCGCCCTCATGGTCTAAGTCCCCGTCCTCTGAGGCGACCTGCCAGTTGGATCCTGAAGAGGAGGCAGCACGGGGGCGCATGGGGCGCCTGCTGCCGTCGCTGGGAGGCAGAGGGGCGCCTCCGCCTGGGCCTACACTTGCTGCTGCTCCTGCTCCAGCTCCTGCTGCTGCCCCAGGTGCTGCCCCTGCTGCTGCCCCTGCAGTGGCAGCAGCAGCGGCGCCACTGGTGGTGGTGCCAGCACCAACGTCCAGAGTGAGCCGATCACGGATGGCACTGGCGCCGGCTGATAGCGGCGACACAGGTCGAGGTTTCCCTCCCTTGTGCTCCTCGCCTCCCGCTGCTGCTGCCGCTCCCCCTTGCCCCTCGCCCTTTCCTCCCTGCACCTGCTCCTGCCCCTTCTCCTGAGCCTGCTGCTCCTTGCGTTCCCCTTGCTCCCCTTGCTCCTCGTTCCCATCGCCGTCCTTTCCTCTGTTCACGGCCCTCTCTTCTACCTCCACTAGATCCGCCTCGCTTTGTGCAGATCTTTCCAGAATTGGCGGCAAGAAATGGTTGGCAAGCGCCGTCCTGTCTGCGCCGCCCTCCACCCCCACGACAACACACTCCTTCTCCCTATCCCCCTCCATCGCCACCTCTTTCACCTCCTCCACTCCCTCCTCCTCTCCCTCCTCTCCCTCTCCCTCGCCTTGCACAGGCCGTCTTGCATGGTCAGCACGAGGATCAATAGAAGCAGCACTGGCAGCAGCGGCACTGGCAGCAGCAGCAGCAGCAGCAGCGGCGGCGGCGGCAGCAGAAGGGGTTCTCCTGGGCGATACGGGAGGTCGTCGGGAGGAGGGAGAGGCAAGGGAGCGGAGGGACGAAGGAGACACGGGAATGCCTCCTGATGCCTCCACTCTCCCTCCGCACCGAGCACACAGCACAGGACCCGTGTGCATCACTGCAGCCTCTGCCACTCGTCCTGCCACCGGTGCTGCTGCTGGAGCTGGTGCTGTTGACGTTGCAGTTGGCACTGCTTCGTCTGCTGCTGCTGCAGTAGCTTCAGCCCCTCCTGCCTCGTCTCTAAAACCTGCAGCAGCTCCTGCTGCTTCAGTCGCTCCCACCGCCCCGTCAACAGCCGCCACTGCTGCAGCTGCCGCATTTGCCAACACCCGAGCCTCATCCCTAGCAGCAGCACCATCACCAACGCCACCACCAACAGCAGCAGCAGCAGCAGAAGCAGCAGTGGGCGTATGACTCAGCGCATCAGGCAACACAGAGAGCTCTTTCATCTTCACCAAGTGCTGCTGCTGCTCCTCCCGCTGCTCCTCCCGCTCCGCCACCATTTCCCTCACCTCCGCCTCTGCAGCCTCTGCCCTGGCCTGTTCCGCATCCAGCATCTCCTGCAGCCGGGCTATCTCCCTGCCTCGAGCCGCAATCTCCCTACCCCGCCGCTCCACCTCCTCTCTCGCCTCCGCCAGCTGGCGTTCCAACGCCTGCCGCCCCTTCTCCGCCTTGTCCTGGGGTAGGGAAGTGGGGAGAGTGGGGGAATGGGTGACACGGAGGGGGTTAAGTGATACGCATGGAGGGCCATAGGATTGCATTGGTGTCAGACGCCATCAAACTCATCTGATCTGCTTCCAGCTCCTCCTGCTCCCCCCTCCCATCAGGTTGTGACTCGTCTCTCTAGACTCTTGCTTTGTGGCGTCTCAAAACTCGTCTCTCTTGCTTCTGCAGCCGGCGTTCCAAAGCCTGCCGTCCCCACAGATTGTTATCTATCGCCATCTTCGTCTTCTTGTAGGTCAGTGCGCCACCCTCTATACTGTCACACTCTGCCCTACAACCAACTCCCCATACAGTCACACTCACTCTTGGCACCCTCAGCACCATCATACGAACCGTATTCAACGCCACCTCCGTCTTCTTGTATGGTGAGGCCCTAGCCTTATACAATCACAGTCCCCACTCTCTCCACGCCCCCCAACACCCCTGTACAGTCACACTCCCCGCCCCCCACCCCCCCTTCAGTCACACTCACCCATTGCACCCGCAGCACCATCATGCGGATCGTATCCATCGCCACCTCACGTCTTCTTGTAAGTCAGTGCGCTACCCTCTATACTGTCACACTTGTCCTCCCCATACAGTCACACTCTGCCCTCCAGCCAATTCCCCATACAGTCACACTCTGCCCTCCAACTAATTCCCCATACAGTCACACTCACCCTCTGCACGCGCAGCACCATCATGCGGATTGTATCCATCGCCACCTCCGTCTTCTTGCGTGGCGGCGCCAGCTCAGCAATGCGAGCCGCCTCCTGCGATTGGTGGAATGGAAGGAAGGGGATGAAAGCAGAGGAGCAAGCAAGCGTAACCACAAGGTTGGGAGCTGGAAGGAAATAATCTGGCAAAACCTGAAAGGAGAAGAGTCAGCGTGGTTCAAGTCATTGCTACGTATGATGTGGTCTGGAACGATGGTGGGGGTTCACGGGCCAAACCGGGAGGGGAGGAGTTTGGGATGAATTGGTTGGGGAGTGCGGAAATTAGAGAGATAGAGGGCGATTGGGAAGACAGTCGACAGGGGGGACGGATACACATTTTAATCAATTAAAAAAGAATATCAGATTGACCAGGCACAGGCACGCACCAGCTTGAGGTTCTTATATCGCAGCCTCGCCAGCCGTGCAAAGAAGTACTGGCGCAGGGCCTTCCAGGGCTTGCGAGCTGCATAGCCCCGCCAGTGACACTGGGGAGAGAGAGAGACAGGAAAGAGGGGTGGGGAGGAGATGGGGAGAGGGTGCGGCCGGGGAGGAGGATGCAAATGGATAAAAGAATGGGAGGGCTTGCAAGTCGCGTAACTGCTCCAGTGGCTCTGGAGAGCGGCGGGTAGAGGGGGGCAGAGCGGGAGTGGGAGAAGTCTGGGGGATACGGTAGGAGGGGAGGCGTGGGGCAATGGCGAGGTGAGGTGGTATGGATGAAAGGGAGCATGCATGGGGCCTATTTTTGAGGCGCCTCAAAGATAGGCGTGGGGCCATGGGGAGGTGGTGTGGATGAAAGAGAGCATTATGCATGGGGCGGATGGGGTGCCCGTGGATGGGGGGGGGAGAGAACATCGAACTGCCTTCAGGTGGTTTTTGAGGCGCCTCAAAAACCACCTCAATGCAGGCGGATGGGGTGCCCGTGGATGGGGTGCCCGTGGATGGGGGGGAAGAGAACATGAAACTGCCTTCCAGGGCTTGCAAGGAGAAGACAGGTGGGGGATGATCCTGTCCTCACAAAAAAACAACTGGCACACACCTGAATGTGGGTGGCAGCGAGGTTGTTGCGCATGTGCAGGTAGGTAGGGCTTGCGGTGGAGGTGCATGCGGTGGAGGTGCATGTGGTGGAGGTGCATGCGGTGGAGGTGCATGTGGTGGAGGTGCATGCGGTGGAGGTGCATGTGGTGGAGGTGCATGTGATTCTTGGCTTGGATGGTGATTGCTGCCCGGCGCAGCACAGCTACCTACTACCGGCACAGGCTGGCAACCCAGAAACCTCAACCAACGAGCAAAGAATTGAAGCATACCTGAATGCAGGTGGCAGCGAGGTCACCTTGACTCATTGTTTGAAGGGCTGCAGTAGTTGAAAAACGCTTAAGCATAGGAACAACAGTGACAAAAACATAGAAGCGTACCTGAATGCAGGTGGCAGAGAGGTTGTCGCGCATGTGCAGGTAGCGCGTGCGATAGAGGTGCATGCGGCACTTGGCTTGGATGGTCACTGCTGCTGTGATTGCTGCTTGGCTCGGCACACACAGCTACCACCACACACTGGGAAACCAGGAACCTGACCACAAGCAAACCACTGCCACACACCTGAATGCAGGTGGCAGCGAGGTTGTCGCGCATGTGCAGGTAGCGCGTGCGATAGAGGTGCATGCGGCACTTGGCTTGGATGGTCACTGCTGCTGTGATTGCTGCTTGGCTCGGCACACACAGCTACCACCACACACTGGGAAACCAGGAACCTGACCACAAGCAAACCACTGCCACACACCTGAATGCAGGTGGCAGCGAGGTTGTCACGCATGTGCAGGTAGCGCATGCGATAGAGGTGCATGCGGTACTTGGCTTGGATGGTGATTGCTGCCCGCCGCAGCACGAGGAAGCGCATGCGCTGCTGCCGGCCCCGCTCCATACGCTGAATGCACGTTGCAGCCAGGCGCTGACGCAGGTGGTACACGAACTCCCGTGCCTTGTAGGCTGGAAGGGGGGGTGAAGGAAAGGAGGGGATAGGAGGGATGGTGTGAGGAAGCGCATGCGCTGTTGCCTGCCCCGCTCCATGCGCTGAATGCACGTTGCTGCCAGGCGCTGCCGCAGGTGGTACACGAACTCCCGTGCCTTGTAGGCTGGAGGGGAAGCGGGGGGGAAGGCAAAGAAGGGGTAGATGCCGAGGGGCAATGTGAAGTGAACAGACTGAGAGCGACAGTAGAGAGATGCAAAACGCAACGCAACGCTGGAGGCAGCTCACCGCGTCTTTTAAGGCGCCTCAAATCTAATCCCACTCACCGCGCCAGAGCTTCTGGATGCAGAGGGCAGCGCGGGCGCGGTGCAGGCGGAAGAGGAAGCGGCGCGTGGCACGCTGAATGCGGGCGGCAGCAGCGTTCATGATCTCCAGCCGGCACGTCTCCATTAGGGCCATCTGCCCCGCTCGCAGGAATATCTTTGACTTTCCGATCTGGGGGGGGGGAGAGGAGAGGGCGTAAAGAATGGATGGGGGGGACGGGAGGAGTGAATGCTATTTGCGTGGGTGTGTGCAGCTGCAGCAGCGTTCATGATCTCCAGTCGGCACGTCTCCATTAGGGCCATCTGCCCCGCTCGCAGGAATATCTTTGACTTTCCGATCTGTGGGAGGGGGAGAGGGTGCAGAGAATGGATTGGGGGGGATGCACGGGAGGAGCGAATGCCATTGCATGAGGGTGTGCAGCGTTCATGATCTCGAGACGGCACGTCTCCATCAGCACCATCTGGCGCGCTCGCAGAAATATTTTCGACTTGCCAATCTGGATGGGGAGAGAGCAGGGAGTGGAGTGGAAATGCATGCACTGGCATGAGTGTGCGAAGCAGCAGCAGCAGCAGCTGGAGCGTTTGTGGACGCACGCACGCATGCACGCACGCACGCATGCACGCACGCACGCACGCACGCACACACACACACACACACACACACACACACACACAAACACACACACACACAAACAAACCAACCCACCCACATACACATCAGCATACACCTACCCCCTCGCTGACACGCACACACACATCCATCCACCCACCGACCCGCATACACTCACACAGGAACCGCCACGAGCTCACCTGGTAATTCTCCAGCTTGGCATGGCGCAGAATGACCTCCACGTACTCAGGGTCCGACATTCTGCACGTAAGGCGGCACAGGGGGGCGAGAACGGGTTAGGATTGAGCCTTTGGATGGCAGCACGAAGGTGAGCACCACAACAGGCTCCAGCTTGGCATGGCGCAGAAGAATTAATCTCCACCCGTACTCCAGTCAGACATTCTGTTGTGCATCCGCAGCAACACAGGGGGGTGAGAATGGGATGGGAGTGAGTGCACGGGAGTGAGTGCACGGGAGTGAGTGCACGGGAGTGAGTGCACGGGAGTGAGTGCACGGGAGTGAGTGCACGGGAGTGAGTGCACGGGAGTGAGTGCACGGGAGTGAGTGCACGGGAGTGAGTGCATGTGAGCACGCAGCGCAGGTGGGCACGCAGGAGGGTAACGGGCAGCGGAACGGGCTCCGGCTTGGCTGCCATGGCGCAGAATGACTTTTGAGTCGACTCAAAAGTCCACTCAAAAGTCAACGGAACAGGCTGCAGCTTGGCTGGCATGGCGCAGAATGACCTCCACGTACTCGGGGTCCGACAATCTGACGGTTGGTATGAGCACACAGCAGCACACGACGGCATGAGAATCAGGTCAGAACAAGAGAGAGTAGACTCCAGCGTGGCATGGTGCAGAATGGCTGTACACAGATTCCGACATTCTGAGGGTTGGGATGTGCGTGCAGTGCAGTGGGTGCAGGGGGTTTGCATTGCAGGGATGGACAGTGTACGGAGGCCGTGTGAGAACAAGGGCACGAGGGGGACTGAAAAGGTGAAAGTGAGTGAGGTGAGGGGGTCATGCAAGAGAGGGAGATCAAATTGAGTGAGGGGGCTCCAGTGAAGGTGAGAGTCCAAAGAGTGTGAGGGGGCCTGAGTGAGAGAAAAGGGTCCAGACCGAAGTGAACAAGGGAGGGCGTCTTGAAAAGAGAAGAACACAGGGAGAGAAATGGAGAGGGAGAAAAGAGGGGAGAGGAGAGGACGAGGCCAGGTAGAATGGAATGGGAAGAAAGTGAAAACGAGGAGAGAAGGAGAGTTGACGGGTCGATGGAGTATGGGAGCAGGCACAGAGAATACGGGACTCACTCCTTGTCAAAGAGCGAGGGCACGAGCAGCGAGAATCTGTCGATGAAGTCGTCAAAGAGGCGGCGAGTGGGGTAGCCCGCCGAGCACATGCGAATGGCCTCCAACACTCCCTGCACGGCGCACCACACCGCACCACACCACAGCACACCACACCGCAGCGCAGTGCACCATACCACACCAAAACACGCCGCATCACACCACACCACGCGGTAATTGGGCATTGCTTTATGGGTGAGAATGGGAGGAGTTTTGTAGGCGCCTCAAACCATGGAGAAACATGAGCATGCCGTAAGAGGGGTGGCCAGTAGCCATGCACATGCGCTTAGCGACCAGGGTGGGGGACAGGCAGCAAGCATGTGATGTCAGCAAGCATGTGTTGTCAGCAAGCATGTGATGTCATGTCAGCAAGCATGTGTTGTCAGCAAGCATGTGTTGTCAGCAAGCATGTGTCGTTAGCAAGCATGTGTTGTCAGCAAGCATGTGATGTGATGTCAGCAAGCATGTGACAAGCGGCGGGATGGGGAAGCATGTGTGTGATGTGATGCATCCATCCTGTACCACACCACTGCAGCTGCACACTGCGCCGCATGCCGCAGCACAGAGCACTTTGAAAGAAATCGATTTTTTTTTACGTCTTAAAAATCACTTCTTTCATGTGGCATGTGTGTGATGCAACAGCATGTTTTGAGACGTCTCGTCTGAAAACATGCATGTTCTCAAAACACTTCTGATCCACACCACTGCAGCTGCACACTGCACAGCATGCCGCAGCATAGAGCCCTTTCCCCTCACTCGTCCCCGTCCCTTTTCTCATCCCCTGATCGCACCACCACCACCATGAACTTCTCAAACAGCACTAGCCAACCCTTCTACCCCATACTTGCACTCCTTCTCAGTCCTTCCCCCCCATCCCCTCGTCTCTCGCACTCACCCCCGATCGCAGCTGCTCCACCACCATGAACTTCTCAAACAGCACTAGCCAACCCTTCTACCCCATACTTGCACTCCTTCTCAGTCCTTCCCCCCCATCCCCTCGTCTCTCGCACTCACCCCCGATCGCAGCTGCTCCACCACCATGAACTTCTCAAACAGCACTAGCCAACCCTTCTACCCCATACTTGCACTCCTTCTCAGTCCTTCCCCCCCATCCTCTCGTCTCTCGCACTCACCCCCGATCGCAGCTGCTCCACCACCATGAACTTCTCAAACAGCACTAGCCAACCCTTCTACCCCATACTTGCACTCCTTCTCAGTCCTTCCCCCCCATCCTCTCGTCTCTCGCACTCACCCGCGATCGCAGCTGCTCCACCACCATGAACTTCTCAAACAGCACTAGCCAACCCTTCTACCCCATACTTGCACTCCTTCTCAGTCCTTCCCCCCCATCCCCTCATCTCTCGCACTCACCCCCGATCGCAGCTGCTCCACCACCATGAACTTCTCAAACAGCACTAGCCAACCCTTCTACCCCATACTTGCACTCCTTCTCAGTCCTTCCCCCCCATCCCCTCGTCTCTCGCACTCACCCCCGATCGCAGCTGCTCCACCACCATGAACTTCTCAAACAGCACTAGCCAACCCTTCTACCCCATACTTGCACTCCTTCTCAGTCCTTCCCCCCCATCCTCTCGTCTCTCGCACTCACCCCCGATCGCAGCTGCTCCACCACCATGAACTTCTCAAACAGCACTAGCCAACCCTTCTACCCCATACTTGCACTCCTTCTCAGTCCTTCCCCCCCATCCTCTCGTCTCTCGCACTCACCCGCGATCGCAGCTGCTCCACCACCATGAACTTCTCAAACAGCACTAGCCAACCCTTCTACCCCATACTTGCACTCCTTCTCAGTCCTTCCCCCCCATCCCCTCATCTCTCGCACTCACCCCCGATCGCAGCTGCTCCACCACCATGAACTTCTCAAACAGCACTAGCCAACCCTTCTACCCCATACTTGCACTCCTTCTCAGTCCTACCCCCCCATCCCCTCGTCTCTCGCACTCACCCCCGATCGCAGCTGCTCCACCACCATGAACTTCTCAAACAGCACTAGCCAACCCTTCTACCCCATACTTGCACTCCTTCTCAGTCCTTCCCCCCCATCCTCTCGTCTCTCGCACTCACCCCCGATCGCAGCTGCTCCACCACCATGAACTTCTCAAACAGCACTAGCCAACCCTTCTACCCCATACTTGCACTCCTTCTCAGTCCTTCCCCCCCATCCCCTCCTCTCTCGCACTCACCCCCGATCGCAGCTGCTCCACCACCATGAACTTCTCAAACAGCACTAGCCAACCCTTCTACCCCATACTTGCACTCCTTCTCAGTCCTTCCCCCCCATCCCCTCATCTCTCGCACTCACCCCCGATCGCAGCTGCTCCACCACCATGAACTTCTCAAACAGCACTAGCCAACCCTTCTACCCCATACTTGCACTCCTTCTCAGTCCTTCCCCCCCATCCCCTCGTCTCTCGCACTCACCCCCGATCGCAGCTGCTCCACCACCATGCTCTTCTCAAACAGCCCAACCCGACCCTTGTCCCCCATCTTTCGAACTCCTTCTCACTCCTTCTCACTCCTCCCCCCTCATCCCTCACTCCCCCCGTCGCACTCACCCCCGATCGCAGCTGCTCCACCACCATGCTTTTCTCAAACAGTGCCGGCCGGCTCTTGGAGTTGGGCTTGATACACCGGATGTAGTGCGGTTCTGTGCGGTTCAGCGTGTCCATCAGCTGCGACAGTTGCAGCTGTACAGTGACAAAACAAAGGATGTAACAAAAAACAAAAAACAAAAAACAAAGGGTGTAATAAAGGGAAAAAAGCAAACAAACAAGGCACAGGAAGAAGAGGTTTTTTTTCCTTGTCCGAGGCCCCTTCGTCCAAGACCTGACACTATCATCTTAATCAATGGCCACATGTTGCTTTTCGCCTTCAACAGTCACACATACCCTTAGTTCAGGGTTACAGGTTCAAGGTTTCTGGTTTGGGGTGCTGCATGCATGACTCACCTTGAACGATTTCCCCAACGACGCGAACTTGGTGGTGGCCTTGCCGCCCTTCCCCCCGCCCTCCTTCACCTCCTCTTGAGCCGCAGGGAACAGCGCAGCCACAAACGGGTCGGTGGACTTCTGCAGCAGCGCCTCGTGCTCTGATACCACGGCGTCGAGGTTCTTGCTGATGAACTCCGTGGTGCTGTACTTAACTCGCCCCGCGTAGTGCTCCAGCGTGAAGTCAGTGACGGAGCCCTTGGACTTGGTGAATCGCTCGTGCTTCAAAAAGGCGTCGTACAGCGACATGGTGAAGGACTCTGGCGTGGACTGGGCTAGCTTGCTGTGTGGGGGGGAGTGGGTGGGGTGGGGGATATGTGAGGGAAGGGGGGGAAAGAGCGGGACATAGCAGGGGAGACGAAGAATGGTGGAGAGACAGAGGGAGAGGAAGGGAAGAGGATGGGAGGGAGAGAGAAAAGAAAGCTCCTTTGTGCAGTGCTTGAGAGAGCTCTTGCGCTGGTTTGCTGGTGTGTGAGCATAGATGCATGAGAGACGGACAGAGAAATGCAGGCAGGATCTGCTTCTGAGGCGAACTTAGAGTCGACCGGCAAAAAACAAGAAACACAGAACACGTGAAGAAAACGGGTATATGGAAGCGGTGAGGGGGGCAGGGAGAATGGACCGTACCAGGCTGAGTCGAGCAGTGTGAGAATGCCCTTATCCTGCAGCAACAAAAAGAAGCAGCACAAGGGAATATGGGAGGACATTCTTGAGGCGGGTCACAACGAAAGAGAACAGATACGAGCTGCTGCAGAAGGAACCGCGCACAACCCTGCGGGAGCAAGCTGATGTAGCTCCAGTTCATCTCTTCTAACAGCTCACTAGGGCCTTCCACTAGCCCCCATCGGCTCACCTGTCTCATCCCACCCATCACCTCATTCCTCTCAACCAACCCCGCCCATCAGCTCACCCCTTCAACGAGGTCTAGCACGTCCTGGTTGTCCCGGAAGTTGATGTAGCTCCAGTTGATGGTTGATCTCCACGTATGCTGCAACGATTGTTTTGGCGCCTCAAGACTCACCAGCCCCACCCAAGAGCTACCCCACTCACCCCTTCAACGAGGTCTAGCACGTCCTGGTTGTCCCGGAAGTTGATGTAGCTCCAGTTGATCTCCTCCCGCTCATACTCCTCCTGCTCTAGCTTCAACACGTGCTGGTGTTTGGAGGGTGAGTGAGGGGAGAAAAGTAGTAGAGACAGTGGGGGGGAACGCGTGGCAGAATGAGGGAAAGCATCACCTCCAGTTGTTGCACCTGCCCTCGCTCACACTCCTCCTGTTTGAGCATAGAACCGTGCTGATGTGAGTGTGAGTGTGGACCGGCGTGAGGAAAAGGGAAGAAAAGCAGCAGAGAGTATGACACTGAATGAAGTGCTACTGAAGCTTCTCGTTACTTTTCGGCAAGCCACAACAACGGTACCTGGTTGAAATGCTGCTGAAGCTTCTCATTTGCCAGGTTGATACAGAACTGTTCGAAGCTGGGAGGGGAGAGGAAAGAGAGGTGGGAAGTTGCGAGAGGTTGGAGGGGGGAAGGGGGAGGGTAGAGTATTGGAGCAGATGTACTAAAAGAGGACAAATATCTAGAGCAGGCTTTACGTACAATGGATGAGTGGGGAAAGCGAAGGGAATGAGGAGCGTTGGAGAAGAGGGTGAGAACAGGGAAGGGAAGGAAGAGAGGAGGAAGCTAGATGGAGCAGTGAAGAGAGCACCATGCTTGCACGCAGACCGAGGGTGCTGGGAGTCTTACTGTGCTTCCAAAAACCCTCCGATTTTTTCTCTGGGACGTAATATGTTGGGGAGAGACTAGTATGAGTGGCACATGTTTCTGTCTGCCACTGTTACAGCGACAACTTCAAACACTCAGCAACAGTGGTGCATTCTCGCTGCTTTCCAGGCAGCCCAAACGAGCACCTGTTGAGCTTGAAATGCTCCAAATCGAAGATATCAAGCACACCAATGAGGGTTTTGAGAGGTAAAAAAAAAACAGCTCAAAAGCGCAGCGCAGCGCACCTGTTGAGCTTGAAGTGCTCGAAGCCGTAGATATCAAGCACGCCAATGAGGGTTTTTGAGAGGTCTAGAAAACCAGCACACAACCGCACACAACCGCACACAACTGCACACAACTGCACCTGTTGAGCTTGAAGTGCTCGAAGCCGTAGATATCAAGCACGCCAATGAGGGTTTTTGAGAGGTCTAGAAAATCAGCACACAACTGCACACAACCGCACACAACTGCACCTGTTGAGCTTGAAGTGCTCGAAGCCGTAGATATCAAGCACGCCAATGAGAGCCATGGAGTTGGCATCCTGGCCAATGGACCGATTCACCTTCTCCACTATCCTGCCATTGGAAAGTGGGTGAGTGCGGAAAAGGGGTTGAGGAGACGGGAGTGCGGGGAGGTTGTGAGAGTGGTGGTTGGCTTGGGTTGCGAGGTAAGACACAAGGAAAGTCGACAAGACGTAAAACGGCCCAGCAATATTGATCAACCGCCCACCATCCAACCATCCACCAGTCAAGAAGCTTGGAGTAGAGTGTCTTGGCTAGCGTGTCTCTGGGCTCATTGGCGCCTTTCTCGTCCAGATAGCTCTTGATCACCTCGCCTCCCACCACAACCACCCACCCAGCCAGCAGTCAATTCACCCACCGGTCAACCACCCACCCACCAGTCAAAGAGCTTGGAGTAGAGTGTCTTGGCGAGCGTGTCTCGGCGCACCACAGCCCCCTTCTCGTCCAGATAGCTCTTGATCACCTCGCCTCCCACCTTGCGCTTCAATGTGCACAGTGACTCCTGCAGCTTCTTCTTGTCGCACCTGAGGGGGAGTTGGGACGGGGATGTGATGTGGGGGAAAAGAGGCGTTGTGTTGCATGCGAAACAGCACGGTGTAATCAAAGCATCGCCTCGCCGCCTCGTCGTGCATAGCGACTCCTGGAGCTTCTTCTTGTCGCACCTGGGGGGAGTTGGGGGAGAGGACGGGATGGGGAGAGGGATATCGGGAACAGAAGCGGGAGTGTGGCATGAGAAAGAGCACGGTCTTATCGAACCATTTCACCGCCGTCCAGTCCACCTTGCGCTTCACCGTGCACAGCTATATTGAAATCATTCTTGAGAATTCAATATCGTGCACACCGTGATTTCAATATCGTCGTCCATTCCACCTTGCGCTTCACCGTGCACAGCGACTCCTGAGACAAGCGGGGAAAAGGAGGTGACAGGAAGAAGCTCCAGCCTCCAGGAGAAGCATCAGCTGCAGCAGTTGGCAGTGGCAGTGGGCATTTAAACGGCTGCAACAACAGCAACAGTTAGCAACGAGCAGGGATGCGCTGACAGCTCAGAAACAGGGGAGAATAACGGACACGGCAAGTCCTAGGGCGTTTTTGGAGACCAGGGCGCTTACGAGAGCAGGTGAGCTACGTTCTCGAGGTTCTCCTCCGAGTCCCACAGCAGCGGTCAACAGTGTTAACTTGTAGCATTGTCAACAGAAGTCAACAGGGCAGGCAGGTACTGACAAGGAGTGAGCTGGCATCAGCAGCAGACAGTGTGTGTTCTTCGAGACCAGTGTGCTTACGAGAGCAGGTGAGCGACGTTCTCAAGATTCTCCTCGGAGCTCTTGGCGATGCGCATCTTGTCGCCCTTCTCCTTGAACTCCACGTTTCCCAGATGCAGAATGGCCGCCACGATGCCGAATATTGATGCCTGCATGGGGGGGTGGGTGGGGGGTTGAGGTGGCCGGGTTGTAGCATGTCTGGAAAGGAGGAATCCTTGGCAGCTCGCATCTTGTCGCCCTTCTCCTTGAACTCCACGTTCCCCAGATGCAGAATGGCCGCCACTATGCCGAATATCGACGCCTGCACAGCGGGGATGGGTGGGCGTGGGGGGATTGGGGTGGGGGCCGTGTGTGAGGGAGGGTGGGGGGGTGAAGTGGGTGGGGCGTGGCATGAGAAGAAGTCGTTGACAAGTCTCGCCTTACACTCCACATGCCGAATATCGACGCCTGCTTGCACACGCACGTGCGGATGGGTGCCGAGTGGGTTGAGGACGCATGGTATGGTATGACCAAACGCAAGAAAATCGCATTGCACCAGCAAAACTGTTCACCCTGTTCCCCCTGTCCTGTTGCCTCCAATATCTTCCCCTCGCCTGCTCGCCCTGCGATATCCCATCCCAGTCACGTCCACGGCATCCAACACAATCACATATTCCACCGCCCACCCTCACCTGTTCGTCCTGGGAGATCCCAATCACGTCCACGGCATCCAAAACAATCACACACTCCTCCTATCCATCCCCAACCGACCTCGAAACCCGCCCTGATTCCATGGGCGGCCCTCCATGTGCTGCCTGCTTTTGAGTCGACTCAAGGGCGGCCCTCCATGTGCTGCCTGCCATATTCCACTCCTGTTCGTCCTGTGAGATCCCAATAACGTCCATGGCGTTGCGAGTGATCACATACTCCTCCGCGTCGCCATTCTGATCCAAGTGGTCTCATATCTCACATCCCAGCCCTCCACCCATATTCCACCTTCCACCCTCACCTGTTCGTCCTGTGAGATCCCAATAACGTCCATGGCGTTGCGAGTGATCACATACTCCTCCGCGTTGCTGCGCTTCCCCTCCAGCTCAATGCACTTGCTCTGCTTCAGGTAGTGAAACTTCTCCGCTCTGTTAGGCCCTGGAGGCAGCCGGTATTTCTCTGCTTCCTGTGAAAGCGGGGCGGTGAGGTACGGGAGAGAGGAGGGGGGGAGAGGAGAGAGGGAGGAGGGGTGAAGAGCGAAAAAATTCCCAACAAAGACTCCCCAGCCACTTTGCAATGACCCCCCCCCACCCCCAACACACACACACACACACGTACACACGCATGTACCTCATTGGATACGCCAGCACAGAGCAGTGGTAGTTGCGCACGAAATTTGCTATCTGCACCGCTCTGGACCGCTCCAATCCCCTCAGCAATGCCCTTAACTGAACAATGACCAGTAAAAATTACCTCAGGGGATGCACCCGCACAGAGCTGGTAGAAGCAGTGATAGTTGCGCTCAGGGTCTGCTATCTGCACCACTCTGGACCGCTCTAGAAGGTAGGAGCGGATGGCGGCACCGGACACGCGGCCGCGCTGGTCGAACTGGATCTCGATGAACTTGCCGAAGCGACTTGAGTTGTCGTTTCGCACCGTCTTGGCGTTGCCAAAGGCCTCCAGCAATGGGTTTGACTGGAGGGAGAGAAGGGAGACAAGGGGATCGGATGGGGGACGGGGGGAGCGAGCGGACGGAGGAGGGTAGTGTGTGAGATGGAGAGAAGAGGAGGGAGGGGTTGGGGGGAGAGGACGGTCGGCAAGAGAAGGGGGAAGGACGGGAGGGTAGGGCCGCGCTGGTCGAACTGGATCTCGATGAACTTGCCAAAGCGACTCGAGTTGTCGTTGCGCACCGTCTTGGCGTTGCCAAAGGTGGGAGGAGGGGAAAAGAGGTTCGAGGGTGTTCGAATGGTGGGTGGTACACAAGGGAGGGTGAGGAAGAGGTAGAGCACGGTTGTACCTCCCAATTTATTCCATCATCACCCCCTTGGTACATACACCCCTACCCCAACGCTCCATTTTCCCCTCCCTCCTCCTCACCTCCAGCACTTGGCGTTCAATGCTGCGCCCCTCAGTGTCCTCAGACCGTCCCCAAACGGACACCAAGGTACTCCATCACCAGCTTCGTTGTCTCCGTCTTGCCCCTGCCCCTTGCACCCCCTCTTATCCCCCCTACACCCCTTCTTATTCCCCCTGTACCCAACAGATCATCACCCCCTTGCCCTGAAACCCCATTCCACGGCTCTTGTCCCTTCAATCTCCCCTCTCCCCCTCTCATCTTTCCCCTCCCCCCTCTCACCTCCAGCACTTGGCGTTCAATGCTGCGCCCCTCAGTGGCCTCAGACCGCCCCCCCACGGACGCCAGATACTCCATCACCAGCTTCGTTGTCTCCGTCTTGCCCCTGCCCCTTGCACCCCCTCTTATTCCCCCTCCACCCAACAGTTTTATCACCTCCTTCTCGCCCTGAAACCCCATTCCACGGCTCTTGTCCCTTCAATCTCCCCTCTCCCCCTCTCATCTTTCCCCTCCCCCCTCCTCACCTCCAGCACTTGGCTTTCAATGCTGCGCCCCTCGGTGGCCTCGGACCGCCCCCCCACGGACGCCAGATACTCCATTACCAGCTTCGTTGTCTCCGTCTTGCCCGCCCCGCTCTCCCCGCTGATCAGAATCGACTGGCTGCGCTTATCGTCCACCATCGCCCTGCAAGGGTGTCGTGGGAGAAACAATGTATGCGGCACCGTGCTGACAATGGCAGGACTTTACTCTCTGCTTGTCAGAATCGACTGGCTGCGCTTATCGTCCACCATGGCCCTGCAAGGGTGTCGTGTCCGAGGGACAAGGAGAGGGAGAAACAATCGTGCAGGCCCATAGTGGACAACACGACACGACTCAGTCTGACGGGAATTTACTCTCTGCGTGTCAGAATCGACAGGGGTGGGCTGCTGCGGCTCGACAGGGGTGGGCTGCTGCGGCTCGGCAGGGGTGGGTGCAGAAGGGAGTGAGAAGGCATTAGTCCCTTCAGTGAGCACAACCATGGAGAGGGGCAATCCGTCCATTTGATGACAGAAAATAGTTCTGAGGCGCCTCAAACCTATACCATCAGTCCCTTCAGTGAGTGAGCACTGAGCACAACCATGGAGACGGGCAATCCGTCCATTTGATGACAGAAAGTATTTGTGTCGTGTCATTGAGTGAACACAAACAGTCAAGTCTTGGCTTGTTGGACTGGACCTATCCAGCCCCCCACCTGCTTACCTGTACGCCCTATACCCTCCCCTTCTGCTCACCTGTACGCCTAATACCCCTCCTCCTCTCTGCTCACCTGTACGCCCAATATCTCCCCCGCTTTCTGCTCACCTACGCCCAATACCTCCCCCCCCCCCCCCCCCCCCCCCCCCCCCGTTCTCTGCTCACCTGTACGCCCAATACAACCCCCCCTCTCTGCTCACCTGTACGCGTTATCAGCAATGGCGAACACATGCGGGCTGAGGTCACCGATCTGTGCCCCTCTGTACGCCTCCCTCATCTCCCGGTCGTAGATGCCTGGTATGCGCATGAAGGGGTTCGCTGCTATCAGAATGCTGCCTGTGTAGGTCTGTTTGGAGGGCAAGTCGGAGGGGAGGCATGGAGCCAGGGAGGCAATGAGATAGGTTAGGGAAGGGGCGGGCAGACGCATATCATGCACTGCACGACATGGCACACTGCACTGTGCACTACATCCACGCCACCCTCATCTCCTCCAGGTCATAAATGCCTGGGATGCGCGTAAGGGGGTTCGCTGCGATCAGAATGCTGCCTGTGTACGTCTGATATGAGCAATGGAGGGCGGGTGGGAAGGGGAGGGTGGGGAAGAAGAGGATATTGAGTTCCATGCTTGGGGATCACGGTTCTGGTTCAGGGTTTCAGACTCTGGGTTTTGGGTTCTGAGTTTGGGGGATTGGGTTTGAAGATTGAGATTCGCCGACGGATTTGCATAAAAGACTTATGACAAGTGAACTCCAACTCATGACAAGTGAACTCCAACTCATGACAAGTGAACTCCAACTCATGACAACTGAACTCCAACTCATGTGCCCACCTCTCTGGTGCATCCCTTTACCCAGTGTCCCTGCTGTTTTACTTTCTGTTTGCATCTCATAAGCGGCAGCGCTTACATAAATAAGGTTGCGCTGGTAGCGCAGCATGAGGTTACAGAGCACCCCCGGCTCGTGCAGATACGCCATCTTGACCATGTCGTCCATAATGCCCCCATCCTCCTCGCGTGCATAGCACGCGCACGCTGCTACCGTCACCTGCGGGAGGGGGGCAGGGAGAGAGGGGAGGGCTTTGAGTGGACTCAAAGGCACCCCCGGCTCGTGCAGGTAGGCCATCTTGACCATGTCGTCCATGATTCCCCCATCCTCCTCCCTCGCGTAACAGGCACCCGCTGCTACCGTCACCTGAGCATGAAAGAGAGTGTGAGAGAATGGGCAATGAGAGCGGAACAGCAGTGGGCACTTGAGGTCATCAGAGAATGGGCACTTGAGGTCATCAGAGAATGGGCACTTGAGGTCATCAGAGAATGGGCACTTGAGGTCATCAGAGAATGGGCACTTGAGGTCATCAGAGAATGGGCACTTGAGGTCATCAGAGAATGGGCACTTGTTGGCCATAATGCCCCCATCCTCCTCCCTTGCATAGCATAGCACGCACCCGCTGCTACCGTCACCTGGGAACATGGGAGGGAAGGGAGGGAGGGCTTTGAGTGGACTCAAAAAGCACCCCTGGGTCGTGCAGCTGTGCCATCTTGCCATATCGTCCATGATTCCGCCATCCTCATTTCACCACGGTCCACCAACACCACCACTACCCATCACCGGTTCATCCATCACCATCCCCACGCCCGTCTCTATCATTGTCATAGCTGCTGTTACAATTCTCCCTATCAAGCTCTGGTCACCACCCGCACGCCTCTCCGTACCTTCTAATTATTGTGACTTTTAAGTCGGCTCAAAAGCCATCCCAACGCCCGTCTCTATCGTTGTCGCTATCATAATCCGCCTTATCGTGCCTTTAGTCACCACCTCCAAGCCCTTCCATACCTATTTATCTTAGAAAAAAAACTTTAAGCCGCCGTGAGTTCGCTGACCACACACACGCATCACTGCACTCACCTCACGTTCCTTATTCCCTGCAGTGTGCACCACCACCTGCCCGCCCACACCCCCTCCCTCCCTCCACCCAGCATCACCACCACCATACCATGCATCACCAACAGCACCACACACACCCACCCACCCATCTCTCACCTCGCGTTTCTTCTTCCCTGTGGTGCGCACCACCACCTGCCCGCCTGCACACCCCCCAGTCAGCACCACCCCTTAGCACCACTTTCCCCCCATCACCACCACACTCACAGGTCCCCACACCACACCACACTCACCTCGCGCTTCTTCTTCCCTGTGGTACGCACCACCACCTGCCCGCCCGCACCCCCCCAGTCAGCACCACCCCTTAGCACCACTTCCTACCCATCACCACCACACTCACAGGTCCCCACACCACACCACACTCACCTCGCGCTTCTTCTTCCCTGTGGTACGCACCACCACCTGCCCGCCCGCACCCCCCCCAGTCAGCACCACCCCTTAGCACCACTTCCTACCCATCACCACCACACTCACAGGTCCCCACACCACACCACACTCACCTCGCGCTTCTTCTTCCCTGTGGTGCGCACCACCACCTGCCCGCCCGGAGCCCCTCCAGGCAGCACCACCCCTTAGCACCACTTCCTACCCATCACCACACACAACCCACACCACACTCACCTCGCGCTTCTTCTTCCCTGTGGTGCGCACCACCACCTGCCCGCCTGCACCCGCGGCGCCATCCTTGACGCCCACCACCTCGCCCTCCGCCCATGCGTCCTCCTCGTCCGGCACCCACACAGTGCTGCCCACCGTGAACACACTGCGCTGCTCCGAGCCCTGGTGGGGTGGTGCGGTGTGGGGTGGGGTGGGGTGGGGTGGGGTAGGGTTCAGGTTCAGGTTCAAAGGAAGAGGGGGGGAGGGGGGAGTGCACGGCACGTCTGTTGGTATCCCCATGCATCCTCCTCGTCCGGCACCCACACAATGCTGCCCACCGTGAACCCACTGCGCTGCTCCAAGCCCTGCACATGGGGTGGGGTGGGGTGGGGTGGGGTGGAGTGGGGTGGAGGTGGGATGGGGTGGAATGGGTGCCCCTATGCCAGCATGCTCGCACGTTCAGCACCTACTGGTTCCGCCCCAACCCCCGTGAACGTGCTGTGCTGCTTCGAGCCATTTGGGTGGGGAGGAAGGGGGAAGGGGGTGGGATGGGTGGGAGATGTGGATATGGGGGGTTGGTCTGTGGTAGGGGTGTTTCAGGTTCTAAGAAAGGAGGGATGTTCATGGCATGTGTTGGTATGTCCACGCATCATCCTCATCCGGCACCCACACGCTGCTGCTCGTTATGACTGGATTTCGGTACTCCGAGCCTGGTGGAATTAGGTCAACGGGTGGTGGCGAGGGCGGGCGGGGGGGGTTGGGGGAGAGGGGTGGCGCGGGGGAGGTGGGCGAGAGGGAGGAGGGAAGAGCGAAGGGGGAAGAGAGAGGGGGGAATGTGAGTGGGACAGGCGAGGGGGGAAGAGTTAAGGGGGATGTACAACGGGTGGAAATCAAGGGGGGAAAGGGGAGGGTGAGGGGGGGGGAATGTGGGAAAGGGGGGGAAGAGAGGGGGAGAGGCGGGGGCAGGGGACGGCAATATATGTACATGTCAGGGCAAACAGGCTCCACTCATTCGCCTCTCAAACCCTGCCGCAGGACACACAGCACAGGCTAGGGGAGGGCTGCGGTGGTGGAGGGGTGTGTGAAAGGGAGCTTTCGCGAGAATGGGTAACTGCTGAAAAAGGAGTGTCGCGGGAGCGGGTAACTGCGAGACACGAGGAGTCCGCGACATGTGGCTTTTGTGGTGTTTGGGGACGTGACAAAGGATTGTGCAAAGTTCGCATTTTTTTTAGAGGGGTCTGAGAAGTACGATTAATTTTGTCTTAAATTTCTCAGAAGTAAGGTACATAGAGGAATATTAAACGAAAGTAGCATGCGACGCTACGCGATAGTGTGCGACGTTGCGCGAGAGGAGACAAGGTGCAATATAGGATCGCAAACGACCCACGGTGGCGAAGGATTCGCAGAGCTTGGGCGTGCGACAGAGCCATGCGAAGTCTAAGCACGGCGGCCATGGTTTGGCGACTACGTGTTCATTTTCATACTCTCTTTTGCACCGAAACAGCAAATTCGTTCTTTCAAGCACGATAACAGGTTAACCTGACATCGCAAGAGCTTGACAGCACAAATAACTTGGCAACGCAACCTTGACGGCAAACCTTGACGACACAAAAACGTGGAATAAAATAGGACACACAGCTGCTTACCATGGTGAACGGGCTCGAGCGGCAGCTGTTCGAAATCAAAACTCAAGGACAATAGCGACGAGACTTGGAGGTAGATGCCATGGAAGAGCCCCTGCCGGGGAGACGAAGTGAGGGTTTCAAGCCGGCAACGCACTGAGGGACGATCTGAGCGGAGGAAGTGCGGAGGAATTGCGGGACTAACCTATGCCAAACCAATCCGATCCTAATCACGACGGTGATGCAGGGTCAAGTGCAGGAGGTTACGAACTTCGAGACTCAAACTATCCGGCAAGAAACTAGCAAAACACCGATGCTACTTAGCATCGAATGCCAGGAAGCTACGATGCTGACGGCACGGAACGGACAACGAGGAATCGGTAGGTGGCCGAAGGTCTCTGTTCGTGGACGACTGTTGAACTAAAAGGTCAAACTTACGGATATGCTAACACGAGCACCAAAACTTGAACGACTTAGATCCGTAAGCTCATAACAGAAGGTAGCGCGGCACGGCTACTTCGCCTCTCCTACTCGTCTAATTCCTCGGTCCCAGGAATACCGTATGCTTCTGCAAAATAAAACATCAGGAGGAGTTACGTTGCAAGTATATTTGATCACCTCCAACGGCAATCCCGAGGTCAACCAGAACGGTTTCTAACGGTACCGCACGGTGACAGTACCTCCAGGCGAGATGCGAACAGTTTCGTGGCACAACACAACTACAACAACAAGCAACAGCCCAACCTCCCCTCCAATCACATCACATTCCACAATTGTCGCGCTTTTCCCTAACCTAACCCGCTCGTTTGTACAGACCGGGCCTTTTCCCCCGAAATTCCGAGCCTGGCACACACTTTTGTGCTTCGCGATTGGCTTTGCCCAAATCACATTTCTGCCCACGAACAGTCACCTCACAAGTCACAATGAAAACCGATGACCGACACTCTGACGGGCAGCGAATATCCTGAAAGACCACAGTACACACCTGCCCCAGCTTGAAACTGAGAAATTATTGGTGGGCTGCCCATCCCGCAGCGCGACTTACCGAACCAGGCCGAAACGAAGCGAGGGCCGCAGAGAACTAACGAAACAACGATACATTGAGCTTCCTCATTGGCTTCTGAAATCGGGCTGACTCAGCCCGTGTGGATTTTGTGATTGGTGAACTTGGTAGAGGAACGAATAAGGTGTAGGTAGCGCGCCAGCTTGAATGATTGGATAACATGACTTGAAAGGAAGCAGTATAGAACCTAGAAAGGATTTGGCACAGAATCAGTACCTCTTGTAAAAATCTCATTCATTTGGCACTGCATTCTATAAACGTGGATGAGCAAACATTTGACGCATTCCCTTACGATGAGGCAGTGGGCAGCTTGAAGTCCCTCAAGGCCGACACATTTACACGCACAGACGGGCCCATTGTTGCGCAGATGTAAGCAGTCTTCCAGTACACTCCCTTGGCGCCTGGTGGGCGATTCGCATCCACAGAGTTCTGCAACACCACCAACACATCGCACAAACACGCAAACAAAACATCAGTCATGACACCAACAGACTGTCAGAATCTCAGCCACTGGGATTCTGACACAGACAACCATTGCCACACACCATACATCACATCAACATTAATACACTACAGAAAACTAAATGACTACACTTACAGCGACGGCAACGAGGTTGGTGAGGAGGTCTTCGTTGGAGAAGGAGGCCTTGCCGAAGAGCACGTGCACGATGCCAGTCTTGTCCGCCCGGTACTCCACCTTGCCCGCCTTGAAGTCCACCACCGCCTGCAAAGGTTATAGGGTTTAGGGTTTCGGGTTTCCGGGTGGGGGAAGTGGGGGAAATGGGTACAGTGCAGGACACCTTAACACTTGTGAGTGAGTGAATGCCGCGCAGTAGACCAAATTGTCTGCGCGATACTCCACCAGGTCTACCACTGCATGAAGGCTGCAAGGGTGGGGAAGGTGTTTTTGAGTCCACTCAGGATTGAGTTTTGAGTCGACTCAAAATCTGTCTGCGCGATCATCACCAGGTCTACCACTGCACGAAAGCTTCAAGGGTGGGGAAGGAGGAGGTGATGAGATGAAGGAGGTGGAGAGGAAAAGCGAGAAGAGAGGGCGGGGAAGTGTGAGGAAGTGGCTTCTTAGATGGAAAACAAAGCTAACGTCAAAGGACGGCCAAGGGGGAAAGGGAGGGAGGAGTGACTGGCTTGAGCAGCATGCATGCAAACTGTACACGCTGCAGCAGCAGTAACCGCAGCACCGGGGGCGGTGGCAGTAGCAGCAGCAGTGAATTCGACGAGCTAAAGGTGAAACCAAATACAGAACAAGATTAACACCGAAGCGAGAATCGGCACGTACCGAAGCAAGGTCGGTGGTGACGGTGCCGGCCTTGGGGTTGGGCATGAGGCCACGTGGACCCAGCAGACGACCCAGACGCGCCACCTGTGCGCGCGAGACACAAGAGCAACAGGAGATTGGAGCAAAGAGAAGGGAGAGCGGAAATATGTGTGTGAAATAGGTCCGAAGCATGCCTTGGACTTAAGCCGTGGGGGTTGGGAATGATACGTGGACCCAGCAGATGACCCATATGCGAGGGGGAGCGAGGAGAGAGGAGAGTAGGGGAGTGGGAGTATAAATTGGGGGGGAACGGGTAAAGTGTATGAGATAGGTCCGAAGCATGACTTAGGCTGGGGTTTGGGCACGAGGTTGTGTGGGTCCAGCAGGTGAACAAGTCACATGAGAGGGGGCCCTATGGGAGAGGGTGTGGGCAAGAGAGAGTGGGGGAGAGGGGTGGGGAAGAGGGAGTGGGGGAGAGAGAGTGGGGGAGAGGGAGTGGGGGAGAGGGAATGGGGGAGAGGGAGTGGGGAAGAGGGAGTGGGGGAGATGGAGTGGGGGAGAGAGAGTGGGTTAGAGGGAGTGGGGAAGAGGGGGTGGGGGAGAGGGAGTGAGGAAAAGGAGTGGGGGGGGAGGGAGTGGAGAAGAGAGGGAGTGAGGGAACGGGAGTGGGCGAAAGGTAGTGGGGAAGGGGGAGTGGGGGCGAGGGAGTGGGGAAGAGGGAGTGGGAATGACGAAGTGTGTGAGACAGCTCAGGTAGCAGTCAGCAGCAACGCACACCTTGGGCATCCTGTCGGGCGTGGTCAAACTCCAACATGCTGATGCGTGCTAGCTTGCCCCACCCCAGCTAGAACCAGGCACCAAGCATGCCTTGCACCGACCAGCAAGCAACGCAACGCACCTTGGGCATCCTGTCGGGCGTGGCCACGAGCTTGTCAAAGTCCAACATGCTGATGCGTGGGATCCAAGCTTGCCCCAGCCCAGCTACAACCCGGCAGCAGCTAGGAGCAGGCGAGCAACGCAACGCACCTTGGGCATCATGTCAGGGGTGGCGACGAGCTTGTCGAACTCGAGAAAGCCGCCCGCAATGCGCTCAATCAGATCCTCCGCGCCCACCACGTCCGCCCCCGCGTCCGTCGCCTCCCTCTGCTTCTCTCCTGCGCGCATGGGGGGGGGGGGGGCGGGGAAGAAGGGAAAACCGGGGAGGGGGAGGCGGGGGGAGAGCAGGGGGAGAGCGGGACAGGGACAGCAAAGAGGACAGGGTCGGGAGAGGGGTTAGGGGCGGACTGAGAAGCCACGTCAGCACCCGCCACCGTCGCCTCCCTCTAGTTCTCCGCTGCGCGCATGGGGAGGCAGAGGCAGGTGCGGGGAACGGGGAACGGGGGGGCATGGGTAGACCAAGGCACGATGGGAAGAGAGAAATGGGAGGCGGGAATGAGGAAGAACAGTAACTTTGATCACATGATTAGAACGAGTAAGCAGCACATTCTGTGGGATGACGCACCGTCAGGAGCTGGTGGTGACTGGGGCAACGAACGGAACGGACGAGGGAACTTTTGGAGCGAAAAAAAAAAAACCAACAACAACAACAACCGTGCAAACAAATGGTGCGATGAAATTATTGCAGATGTCACACCGAAGGGAACAAAGAAGTACCTTGAGTGAGGACGGCAACGCGAACCACCTGACCGGTTCCCTTGGGCAAAGAAACCTGGGTGAACGAAGAAGGGGAAAGAACGGGAGAGAAAGGGAGGAATGGAGATGGGATGACACAGCAACCCGAACCGTCGGATCGATTCCCTTGGTCAGAGAGGGGAGGGGAGAGGGGGAGGAGGGGAGGGGAGGAGTATGTGGCAAGCATCCCCGCTAACAGACCCCCGTTAACAGCATATTTTTCTCACGCAATGGCGCGCAGGGGCCGAGGTTGAGTTCAAATGGTTTTCGAAAATTCTTGGACCATTTGCTTCGACTCGTAACCACCCCGCCTGCATCCCGGATACACTATCCCCGTTATACTATTCCCGTTAATAGCAGCTGCTGATCAGCATGATTTCAATCACTGTTGTAATTCCTTCGACTAAGTCATCCCGTTAACAACATCCTCCTCGATCCTCACCGTGGCGCGCAGCTGCTGGTCGGCGTACTTCGGGTCGATGTTCAGGCGGAAGTGCGCCTCGACGGACTCGTCAAACTTGACGGAAGCCGTCGCCTTGACGATCTCAAGCGCCTCCACCGGCTCGTACTCGCTGTTGCGGTCGCGCAGCTTCTGGATCTCCAGAAAACGCTTCGACCGGGTCTACGAAGGGGAGGGGTTTGTGAGTGAGGCAGACAGAGAAGGAGGGTGCGATGGTTATGCAGTTATGGTATCAGAACTCGTACTCGCTGTTGCGGTCGCGCAGCTTCTGAATCTCCAGAATCCGCGTCGATCGGGTCTGTAGTGTGGGGGAAGGAGGGCAGAAAATTGTAATTCCTAAACCGAGAGCAGCGCGAACGTAAGGGTTCGATCGCACCGCTTCGTGCTCGCGTTTGCGGTGATGCAGCTTCTGAATCCCCAAGAACCACTTGGATTCAGAACGAGGGAGGATCAGGTCTGAATCATGTCTGGATCATGTCTGGATCATGTCTGGATTTGAGGCGCCTCAAAACTAGAATCCCCGAGAACCACTTGGATTCAGAACGAGGGAGGATCAGGTCTGGATCATGTCTGGAAATGAGCGCGCGGAGAGAGAGTTGACTTTTGAGTGGACTCAAAAGTCAATTCAGAACGAGGGAGGATCAGGTCTGGATCATGTCTGGAAGTGAGCGCGCGGAGAGAGAGCTTGTCAGAGCTTGTCAGAGCTGGAGGGTGTGAAACATTCACGCGGCCGCTCCTGAAACCGATTCAGACTCTCCACTCCGAACAAGAGCTTGTCAGAGCTTACAGCGAAAACGAACCAATTATCCAATCCGTTCCCTCGCTACAGAAACTTCCACGCACGCTTGAAGGAAATAACGTACTAAAGCTTCAAATAAGAAGCTTCTCAGATTCCAGCTCCCAGACGGGACCAAGATGACCTGCTATCCGCTCAGAACAATCTTTCAGACGCCTGGAGACGTACTCGAGGCGCTACATCCGGCCGATTTATTGAATGTCTCAGAAGACGTACTCGAGGCGCTACATCCGGCCGATTTATTGAAAGTCGCAAAAGACGTACTCGAGGCGCTACATTGGGCCTGAAAGAAGAGACTCGGGGAAGGTCAGCTGCGAAAAGCCTACATTCACTCGAGAAACCCTAGCTCCTGTTCCTCCTGTGCGGCGGTCCTTCCCTATACTGCGCCGGAAAAGTAAATGGTAGAGTAATGTAAACTACATTATGCTAAACGTGAACGTCGTTGGTTGATAAAGAAACCCTAATATGCTCTGCCGTGCACTTGGCCCTCCGAAAACGCTGGCACGCGCAGCGCAATGCAGCACATTCCGATAACCCCTGCACACCCAGGTTGCAGCATCATTGGTAAGCGGCGCGAAACCCGAACATTAAAAAATATCCGTCTTGCTTGCTGATCCCTCTCGAACGTTGTGCCATTCGTCCCTCTGCGAGAACTAACGTCCTTCCGAAAACCCAAACAAACTCTTGCCCGTCCTGTCGCTCACTTAAGGAGCCTCGCATTTTGGCTAACCTAGGTACTATCGGACAGCTACACGAAACCCTAACGCTGAAACCTATTCCGCCTCGCACCTGGTCCCTCTTAAACACAAGCGCCTTCTTCCCCGTCTTCGCCTTCACCGGTGCCACGTCAGCCTCCTCCGCTTCCCCGGCGTCCTCCGCGCCCTCCACGGACGGGAACAGCTCCGCCACTGCCTGCACGCGCGCAGCTACCGCAGACCGCTCCGCCGTCACCACTCGCCGTCCGCTAAGGACGCGGCTCGACCGGAGGCTAATCTGCGGGCGGACGAAGGAGGAGGCGGGGACGGTCGTGCGCGACGGCGCCGCGAGCGCGGCGTCGAGGCGGAGAGACTGGAGCATCGGGGTGGCTTCGATGGCAGCCATGGTTTCAGGCGGGAAAAAATCCGAGCTGCGATCCGCTCTCTCTCTCAATCGCTGGTCTGAACGACCGCTACTGCCTCGTTTCCAAGGACAGTAATTTACCACCAACTTGAAAGATTTCTGAGAATGAGCAGAGAAACACCCTGGAGGAGGTGGAGAGGAAGAGGGAGAGAGTGAAAGAATGGAAGTGTGATTGAAATGGCGGAAGGAGAAGGGGCGGATGAATCGAGCCGAGGGGTGGATGAATCGGATGGAGGGTGAGGGGGAGCAACGGGGGAAGCGAGGGGAGCGGAGGAAACGGGTATTCTGGGGGAGCAGGGGGTGCGGTTGGAAGAGCGCTGGAGTAGCGAATGGGGAGAATGGGTACGCGGGGACTGAAAAGCATTTGGCCTGGAATGGGGGAGTCGGGGAAGCGGAGAGTCGGGGAACGCGCAGTGCAGGGGGACGGGGATTGGAGAGGATCGAAGGCTGGTTGGAGCAGGTTGGCTTGCTGACGTGGCAGGGTGACGAAGTGCTGTTGGAACCTGGGTTGGACGTGGCAGGAACCCCAAGCCGTGGGACGTGGCCCTCTCGACTCAAGAATGCTTCTCTCGGGAAATGCAAGGTAACAAGCGTTATCGAATAACATGTAACCAATATAGACGTTGGTTGATGACTTCACCATCTTAGTACATAATTCTCATGCAAAATTACCAAATGCCTTCAGAAATCTAGCATCAACCAACTTCTTTATTTGATTACATATACCTTAGGGAATGTCAGAGACAGTGGCCCAAGCTTATTTAATTAACAAATAAACAGTCAATATTTATACTCGATCAATACCTATCTGTGTAACATCAGGTGTTTTAGTGACCTGATAAGAGATGCTTGAGCCGCCCTGATGCACTATGCCTCCCAAGCAAACTCCTGGTATCTCTTGCAGCCCCCGCGAGATGCGAACCTGCAAGTGCCTCTGGTTTGCCACTAGCAGTAGCTACACCAGTGGCCTCTCTAACTGCTTGTGGTGCTTCTGCTGATAGTGCAGCAGCAGCGCCATGTGTAGAGTTAGTCCTGAGAATTGAGAAGGCGGTCACAACATCCGACATGCCTCCTTCACATGTCCCTCCATCAACTTCCATCCCTCCTCTCTCCATCCCACCCTCTGCTTCCACATTCTCCCTTGCTTGACCTGTAGCCAATGCTGCGCTGACAGCTGGCAGCACGTTTCCAGTGCTCGAATACACCGCCACAGGCTCGGGAGCGGCGGTTCGGTCAAGAGTGACGGCCGGGGACAGCCGGGCCCGGAACTCTGCAATGGTGCCAACGCTGCTTGCAGCTCCGGTGCTGCCGAGGCTGCCGATCATCCCATTCCTCTGCCAAGGCTGGTGAGGGTGCGGATGGTGATTCTCCTGCTGCAGCTTGTCATCCTGGCCGTTCAAGTGGGTGTGCAGCACAGCAGCAGCTGCTGCACTCAGCACGGCGCTGTTGTACCCAGCCAAACCTGCTTTGCCTCCCACCTCACCCTCCTGCTGCTCCTGCTCTCCCTCACCCTCTCCCTCCTCCAACTCTTCTTCCTCTTCCTCCTCATCCTCCTCCTCCCCCTCCTCCAAATGCCCACACGTCCCATCCACGGCCATATCTGTTCCCCAAGTACCGCCGCCCGCCGCCACCGCCGTCCCCGCAGCCGCAGCACTGTTCACAACCACTTGCGACTTTCGGATCTTTCTCTTCGGCGAGAAGAACGTGAACGGACTGCTCAGGCCCGACGGCCTGGCTCGGAACAACGCAGACGTCCCCGAACCTGGCGCTCCCGAGCCTGAAACGCCAGCTCCGGCGGCGTTCTTCCGAGCCTTGGCTGCCGGAGCAGCACCCAAGGAGAAGAGAGAGGCGAGCTTGCTGGTAGCACTGGCCATGGCTCCACTGGCAGAACCAAAGGACCCACCACCACCACCAGAAGCACCTGCACCAGCAGCACCAGTGGCAGCGGTACCAGGAGCAGGAGCAGAGGGGGCCGGGGCAGCAGCTGCATGGGTGCCGTCTCTTCTCCTGCCGGACGACACTCGGAACACCCCCGTGCGGCCCTTGTGTGCTCTAGGGGCGCGCCTAAGCGGCTCGATAGCAGCTTCAGCCCCAGCAGCAGAACCGGTGGACGTGGGATCATGTGGGGTAGGCTGATCTTGGGCAGACGCAGGTGGGGTGGGCATGTGTGACAGTGGTGCTGCCGCTGCAGCTGGAAACGAGACAGAAAACGGATGATCAACAGACATGGGACCGATGGGCTGAAACGGCGCTGGGGATTCTGTTGCTGTTGCAACCGTGACTGCTGCAGGCACTCTTGATGCTGCTGGCGCTCCTGCTGCTTCTGCAGCAGAAGAACCAGGAGAGGAGAACAGAGAGGGATGCACCACAGGTGCAGCGGTTTGCTCTGCACCTGCAGCTGCACCAGCATCCACAGCTGCTCCACTACCACCGCACACCACAGGCACGGATACTGCAGGGGCTGACGCACCTGCCAAGGCTGGTTCCGAACCTGTCATGGCAGGTGCGGCCAAAGCAGATGCGTGGGGTGCGGCCAAAGCCGCTGGGGGAGGTGCGGCCAAAACGAGCTGCGAAGGCGGAGGCATGGGCTTGACAAATGAAGGGCGGACGGTGATGGCAGCTGGGAGGGAAGCAGCAGTGAATGTCGCTGAGTGAGGCACAGCAGCCATGGGCACTGGAAGCGAAACGGCTTCCATAGATGATCCCAGAGGAGCAGCGGCGGTATGAGGGGGATGGGGAGTGGGAAGGGCGGCGGAGTGTGGGAGAGTGAAGGGCGTGGGACAGGAGGCAGCAGAGGAAGCGGAGGAGATGGTGGGAGAATGAGCGGGGGAAGACCTTGACTCATGATTCCGCCTCTGCTGCTGCTGCTGCTGCTGTTGCTGCTCCTGCTGCTTGTGAGCGTTCGTATCCACGTGCATGTGCACATCAACACCACCAAACCCCTTTCCACAAGCACCACCGGCAGCGGCACCACGAGCAGCGCCTTTACCACCAGCCAGCACGTTTGCCCTAGTGCGGCTGGGCAACAGTGGTGTCGTGGGCGCACCAGGCGCCTTCATTGAATGCGCAGCAGCAGCAGCAGCGGGTGCAGGAGCAGCAGTGGCGGGTGCGGGAGCAGCAGCGGCACCTCTTGCAGCAGCGCGGGCAGCAGCAGCAGCTGAAGCTCTGGCAGCGGCCACTTGGGTGGTTGCAGGGCGTGTCTTGGAGGGGTAGCGCGGTGAGACTGCAGATGCGTTCGCAGAAGCAGCTCTGGCAGGAGCAGCAGCAGGAGTAGCAGCAGTCGCTCTGGCACCAGCAGCACCGGTGGCGGCAGCAGCAGCAGCAGGTGCAGCAGTAGCGGTGCCACGCCTGGATGGGGAGGCTGGTCGCTTGGCAGGTGAAGGCGGTCGGCGGATGGGCGAGGGCTGGCGGCGAATGGGGGAGGGTGCTCTGCGAGAGGCAGGAGCAGCTGCTGCGGAAGCACCACCAGCAGCAGCGGCAGCTTCGGCAGCAGCACCAGCAGGAGCAGCAGTTGGAGCCGCAGCAGTAGGCGCAGCAGCCGCTGACACGGAAATACCAGCAGCAGCTGAATGAGCAGGAGACGGAGCAGCAGAGAAAGTTGAATCCCCACAAGATGGGGCATTTATGGAGGTCGAGTGAACCCCAGTAGTAAGAGACGTGTGAGCAGGTGCCTTGGGATTGACGCCAGCAGGCTCGCCCAGAGATGCTGGAATGGACGGTGCAGATGCGCCGCAATGCTTCAAGATCCACGGGTGCTGCAGCGCCACGTCAGCGGTGATCCGGCGTGGCGGATCAATGGTGAGCAACCGATGGACCAGATCCTTCGCCTCCGCGCTGATCGACGGCCACGGATCGCTGGTGTAATCCGGGCGGCCGCGCAGGATACGGACGAAAAGCTCTTCATCCGTGTTACCCCAAAACGGCATGTAACCGGAGAGCGCTGTAAAGAGGATAACTCCAAGTCCCCATAGATCAATGGCCAGACCGTACGGTTTCCTGCACACTACCTCTGGTGCCATATACACGTTGCTGCCATGCATACCCACTGCAAGCTGCCCCGTTTTAAGCATAACAGACAGTCCGAAATCCGCAAGCTTAACATGCAGGGTGCTCCCCGCGCCTTCCGCCCTGTCCCCCTCCTCCTCCCCGTCCCCTTCCCCTGCTCCGCGCCCCCCTTCCCCCAGCAGACCTCCCCTCGCCCCAAAGCTGCTGCTGGCGGTGCTGGCGCTACCAGATGACATTAACATGCTACTGGGTGTACTGCTGATTACGCTCGTACTAAAAGTGCTTGTAGAGGGGCTAGCCGAGTCACCGAAAGCGCCACCTGCACATGCTACAGTGCTGCTTACAGGCCCGTCGCTTACAGTCACATCTTGCATAATTTCATCTTCCGCGTAAGAATCAGATGCTGGTACTGTAGAAACCGCTTCGCCTTCCGTTTTCGCTGTTGCTGCTGTAGCGGGTACAGCAGCGTCGATGAATGCGACCTGTCCGTCTTGTACCGCTACCGGGTTCGCTAATAAGATGTTCTCCGGCTTGATATCACGATGCAGGATGCCGTTGCGATGGCAGTGACTTAGCGCCTTCAGGATTTGACTGCAGGGGAAGGTGATTCAAGCGGGCGAACGACAAAGAGTTTAGACAAAATCGAAGCGCATTTTCGGCAAGAGCAGCAACAGCTGCGACGAGTCAACAGAATAGCAGGAACCGCGTTATAATCACATCATTAAGCGCACGTACACCGCTACATCGGTCCGGCACGTGCGGATGGGCTGGGACGGACTGGACTTATCGTACCTCGTCAGCTGCGCGGCGATCGGCTCTGGAAGCGTGGTGGCAGCCGTGAGCAGATCGTACAAGTCACCGCCAGTGCAGAGCTCCATGACCACGTGCACCGCGTGGTCGTCCTCGTACACGGCGAGAAGGCGCACCACGTGCGCGTGCCCCGCCAGCCGCCGCATCGCCGCCACCTCTGCGCGGAGCTCCTCCACCAGGTCCGGGCGCTGGGGAAGGCGGCGGAATTGGGGAAAAGCGGAGGAATTGGAAGACTTGGGGTAAGGCGGAGGAATTGGGGGAATTGGAAGGAGGAGGAGAAATTGCAGGAAATGGGGGAGGTAGGGACGGGGAAAGGAGTTGGGGGAGGAGATGAGGGGGAACGCGGGTGGGGGGGTTGAGCAGTTGAGCGTGTCAGCTTGCAAGCCGGTGAGTCGGGCTAAGGATTGCGGTGATAGGTCTGAGCAAGGGACGGCGGGGAAATACACTTCCCGATCGCAAAAGCACTTGCGCCAAAAAAAGAAGTAAACAAAACTTGAAACGAAGGCAAAAAAAAGCCGGATTTTTTTCGAGTCGGTACCTGGAGCTTCGTCTTGGGAATGGTTTTGCAGGCCGCCACGGGCTGGCCAGTCAGCGGGTCCAGGCATTCGCGCACCACGCCGCCTCCGCCTTTCCCCAACTCCCGCCCGAGCGTGTACGCGCGCCGAATGTCCCCGCGGCCCATGCGCGGAAACACATGCGGTGCGCCGATCTGCCGCGCCGGTTCCGCCTGGCCGTTCGCGAGGTTCCCCCGGGCGGCTCCCGCGACTGGCACACCTCGACCGACCGTCGTGACGTCGCCTCGACCGATACCCGTGCTGCCTCGACCCCGTCCGGTGAACGTATCTGCCGCTGCTGCTCCTCTCCCAGCACCCCGTCCGGCTCCGCGCCCTGCCGGAACACCCGCGGGTGTTTCCGCGGGTACACCCGCTGATGCTTTCGCGGGTGCACCCGCTGCAGACTTCGACGGTTCAGCCATGCTTGATCCGCGAGTGGCGGTCCCTCCTCGGGTGCTCGTCGATTGTCCGCCTCCACATGCTGCTGGCTTGGACGCGGCTCTGTCGTTTCGCGAGTGTGCAGGCATCCATCGCGTGGCCATGGATTATAAGATTATATTACGGCGTGGTGCGCCAATACTGGCCTACTCACCCCCACACAACCACGAGCTCACGTCAGCGGTCTCCTCGAGATGAAGCAATATGCACGATTTGAGTCTGTCGCTGTCGTTGCGTGGGTTCGAGGTAAATGGCTCCAATGATTTCGCTCGTTGCAGGTGAACGGAACGAGCTACGGAGTACGGTTTGGTCTTTGGGTGATTTTTGTGTTAGAAGGCTGTGGTTGAGAGACGGTCGAGATATCACCTAGGGAGGAAAACGCGTACCGAAGCCATTATCATCTCTGGCCTGCGAATCACGGAGAAAGCAACTTACAAGCAGGACCAATCCAAACCAGGACCAGGATGCTCGCCACTAAGGGACTGAGGGACAGTTAGCTACCTGTCCTGAAGACTGGACTGAGAAATTGTAGGATAGTTGTATGGGAAAAGCTGTTCCTTGTTCAGCCAGTCGAAGTCGATAGGTGGTGTTGAGTGAGTTAATCAGGTTTGACGGGCGGTGGGGATTGGAAAATGATAAAACATTTGTGGAGCACGGGAAGTTGGGCGGGAAGCGAGGCGATGGATGGATGTGGAGTGAAGCGCCAGATCCCAAGAGTTCGACAGTGGAGCGCCTCGTTTACATCTGGAGATGGTTTGGTTTTGGTTTTGTTCGCAGGCCATTGCGTGCGATGGAGGATCTACACTACAGCTTCTTTCATGCGACGATGCCTTCCTGTGCGATAATCTCGCTTCCAACATTATCTCAGTGTCCTCCGTCGATGTCTGGCACGCTTCTGAAGGTGACGGTTGATTCGCTCCATTTGAGGATCAGCCGTCGCATGACCTGTCCATCCCTCATCGCATGCGGCTAGGAATTGTTCATCAGTTCTCGAGCCGCCGCCGCCGTGCTGTTCATCAGCCAAAACCCTTCGCACATTGGTCAATGCGACTGCTCCAGCCACTGATTCACCCGCGAACAAAGGAGTTCGAATTTGAAACTGCTTCCCACCATCCCCGTTTTCAAACCTCGCCACGCAATTACAGGAGCTTCTCGAGTCTGGATGTGCCATGCCTCGCCATGCCATGCCATGCCATGACATCCAGCTTCGGCTCCCGTCCTTCCCCCACGCTTCCCCTCCCAACTCTATGGAGCCATCATCCTGGACTTGCGCTCCAACGCCAGTTGCTGCCTGAACAAGGGCTGGCATGTGGGAGTCCAGGCTGAAAACGGCAGCTAGAGAATTCAATGTGTCAGCAAACTCCTGACATGACAATCCCCTCGGGCACATAGAGGATCCGTCGGGATGGAGTTTGAAAGAGGGCGCACTTGCGCCATGTTTTGAACGTGTAGAAAATAAAAACCTGGCTTGGATTTTCTGCTGTGTCTGAGCTGGTTCTACAACAAACTAAACTTTAAAATGCAATCAAATGAGAATCATTCATACAGAATGGCCAAGGAACATAATTCTCCTTACTTACTCAGTTCTTGTCGATTCCTGCCTTAATTTACATTGGTAACTAACAATAGCCCATATACTGTCATGGTTCCACAGGTAGTTTCTTAAGTTTCCCACAGAGTCCATAGTCGTTAAGCGGATGGGCCACGGCCAGGGCCCACGTTATCAGTGTAAATCACCCTGATGCCCTGACTAGAAGGGTGATTTTTGGTAGTAACACTGATGCTGTTGGGTAATTTTTTTTGGAACCTTGATTTACCCTGATGTGCCAGGTTTTAAGATTAAGGAACACTGTCGCCTCAGGGTTGCCGTTCCGCTTATCGAGGTTTACCCTGTAGCGCGTACCAGCGAACCCCCCCCCCCCCCCCCCCCCCCCCGTCACCTAACCACACGACCCCGAAACCTGGATTTCCCCTTTGCCAACTGTCGAAAATGTAGATTTCGGCAGGACTTGTTATTGTGTGCTGTGTTACCGTAATAACAACTGAAACAGGGTTTTGCGAATTGGTACACTGATGCCTCAGGGTAGTCGTTTTAATACATGCAAAAACCCTGACGCATCAGGTTTTCCACAACGGGTAACCCTGAAAATCAGGTTTTTGAACAGGTGCTAGACTGATCGTAAGGGTTGGTCAAAACCAAAAATGAGCCCTGGCCACGGCTAAATACACGTTGGACACGCCCTCAAGAAAACCTTTAAGAAATCCGCGCATATCAGTCTCGGAAGACGGGCCCACAACTATGGAGAGGAAGAAGCTGTAGCGCTTGAGTTTACCATCCCGAACACTCGTGGTATTCTTCCAGTCGGGATCGTCAGTTCCCCCAGCAAGGTACAAGCCGACGGAATTTTTTCGAGGTACACTTCCTCCTGATCGGATGTTATACATACGTATCTTTTCCACTGCGTAATATTCTGATGCAGAGGCCCTGCCAACCCGTCAAATGTTGATATTTGTGATAGGTTGTAGTGAGGTGCTTCCTAGTGAGTACAACCCAGTTAGGGTTTGCTATTTGTATCTCCCATATTCCTAATCTCACCATTCCGTTGCATTCTAACTTTGAGATGGTATCACGAGCAGGTTAGTTCCTCGTTACTTCCTAGCCCGCGCCCTCTTCAGCGCACCTCCGCGCCCTCCGCGCCTTGGCCTCCACGCCCTCCGAGCCCTCTCCGCGCCTTAGCGCCCTCCTCCTCCGCGCGTCAGCGCCCTCCGCGCCCCTAGCCCTCGCTGTCGCGGACCTCCGCGCCTAGCGCCATCCGCGCCCCTAGCCTGCGCCCCTAGCCCGTCGCCCAGGCCCGCGCCCTAGCCCGTCGCCCAGGCCCTCGCCCTAGCCCGTCGCCTAGGCGCCCGCCCTAGCTCGTCGCCCAGGCCCACGCCCTAGCCCATCGGCCAGGCCCGTGCCCTAGCCCGTCGCCCAGGCCCGCGCCCTAGCCCGTCGCCCCGGCCCGCTCCTTAACCCGTCGCCCCAGCCCGCGACGAAATTACTATCGAGAGTTTTGGTACAAAAGTATATCCTAAGGGGTTGTACCCCACAGTGAGTACCCCACTAAAGCCTACCCAAACTATAACATAAAACAATTTGTTTGACACACCCCCATAGGCAAAGTGGGGGAGAACAGAGGGTCACAAAACCAGTCGGGAAGTGCAAAGCAAGCTCAGGGTGGATCACAACGTCACCACGCAGTCTGAGGACAAGCAACAGGCCACAAAGCCAGTTCACATGCAGAGATATATATGTAACAACAACAACACATTGATCTCTACCTACAAGAGCAAGGATGCAGGTATATATATAGATCACAGTACAAGCAACGTCTACAGCAAGTGAGGAAAAGTGGGCACAAGGCCTAACAAAGTGCAGAAACGCTGATGATCACCAGACGAAAGTGCCTTGGTGAATATATCAGCAGTGTTGGCCCTAGTGGCCATGTAAGCAAGACGAAGCTGACCACGCTGCTGCAACTCTCGAGCCAGGAAGTAACGCAGAGCGATGTGCTTCGTTCTGTGCTCCAGTCTGTGCTCCTCACACAAGGCAATGGCTGCCTTGTTGTCGACGTACAGCACTGGAGGAGAACGAGGCCGCTCTCCCAGGTCGGTCAGCATGTAGGTGAGCCAGCGTAACTCCTGTGCAGCCATGGCTGTGGCGTAGATCTCAGCCTCACAACTGGAGCTGAGAACTGAAGACGAGCGTGTAGAACGCCAAGAAACTGAGCCAGAGCCAAGGCTGAAGGTGTAACCCTGTGACGACCGCTGCGTAGCCTGGTCGTCAACCCAAGAAGCGTCTGAGTGCCCAGTGAGGACAACTGGGCTCCGCCCTCCAAGCACGAGCCCCATGCCCGATGCACTGCACAAGTAGCGTAGTACCCTCTTAGCAGCATCCATGTGCACCTTTTGGTGCCGACCAGGAGCCACGTAGCGAGCCAGAAGGCCAAGAGGGTACGCAAGGTCAGGACGAGTGCATGTCATCAGGTACATGAGGCAGCCCACTAGCTCTGGGTAAGGACCACTCGGCTCTACGGACTCGTCCGAAGGTGGAGCTGAGAGCGAGTGACCTGTAGCCAGAGGAGTGTGCTGTGGCGAGGACCAGGTGAAGCCGAAGCGCTGAAGGACCTGCTGCACCATGTGTGACTGAGTCAGGGTGATGGTGCGGCGTGCTCTGTCCCGGGTGATCTGCAAGCCAAGGTAACTGCGCAGCTCACCCAGGTCTGTGCACGTGTGTCTCTTCTGCAGCTCCGACTTCACCAGGGCGAGAGCCTCAGTGTCAGCAGTGGCAAAGACCAAGTCGTCGACGTACACGAGGATGTAGAACGGCGGCAGCGAAATGTCGGTGCGCAGAAACAGCGACGGGTCAGCAGTCGACGGAGCAAACCCAAGAGCAGCAAGTGTCGTCCTCAGTGTGTCGTGCCACTCACGTGGCGCCTGGCGGAGACCGTAGACCGGCCGCCGGAGGCTCCACTGGGTACCAGGAGGGAACGACCCAGTGAAGCCAGGAGGGCGGCGCAGCCAGATCTCCTCGTGCAGGCTGCCCTGTAAGAAAGCTGTGATGAAGTCAAGAGAGTGAAGCTCGTAGTCACGCTGAGCGGCAACGTGCTGTAATACCCGAAGAGTGGTCATCTTCGGGGTGGGGGAGAAGGTCTGGAAGAAGTCGACTCCCTCCCGCTGACTGAAGCCTCGAGCAACGTAACGAGCCTTGAAGACAGGCGGAGAACCTGGCGGCCGCTTCACCCTGAAAATCCACATGCCACTGACGATGTTCGCCCCAGGAGGGGGAACCTCGTCGACGTAGGTGCCTGTGGACTTCCAGGATGCCATCTCTGCGTCCATGGCTGTCTGCCACTGAGAGGAGTACTCACCCGCGATCGCCTCAGCGTAAGAGCGCGGGGTCGGGATGTCTGGAGCATCCGGGTCTCCCTCAGGGGCAAGTAGC